ATGTCGGCAAGCACTCGAATCCATCCTGTCGTCGCAAGGACCTCGCCTTGAGCAAATGTGATCTAAACAAGTCAGAGTGGCCATCACCGAACGAACTAGATGATGCACATACCGACTTCCCCTGCTCCTGTGTCAACAATTTGGCAAAATCGTCTTGATGACTCTCAATTGCGTCTGCGAAGGCGAGCACAGCCTTCCTTCGCTGTGTAAATGGAACCTTAGCCCAGAGCTTGAATGCCCGGTTGCCAGCATTCACGGCATCATCAACGTCCTTTGGTCTTGATAACGGCACCGGTGGGTTTGTCTCACATGTGGCTGGATTGATGTTATGTGTTGTATTGGGTGTCACGGTGAGCTTGCCATCTATAATGTTGTAGTATTTTCCGAAGACCTTGAAGTTGGCAGCAGTAGCAGACGCCATTTTGCGGGATTCGATGTTTCAGCAAACTGTGCAGAGATAATATTCCCAAGTCCTGGTGATGAAAGATCTTCCTATTTTGGCTCGTTCTTAAGAACAACCTACCGGAGCAGGTGAAAGCAGGGTAACCTATGATGAGCAGTTTATAATGCTAGTTCCAAGTTCGTCAGAGAGGCAGAACCTGGGAATCAACGGGCGGAGCAGGATACATCTCCGCTATACGCAACTCGGGGTTAAGCATTATCCATCTCCTACGGTGAATTGATGGTAATTTTGATTAATAAACGCCGGACGACCCTTCGGTAGCCTTTAATGACAGATCCAGCTTCACGCTAAATCGCAGATACTACGTGTGGAATAGCCCAAAAAATAGTTCCGTAGAACCTGGGTTATTTCGGTCGTATATTACCAAACCAATTACCAGGTCCCTTACATAGTAAGAACAGCGTCGGCCAGACCAGCCTATTGAAAATAGCAGGGATAACAATTGCCCAGGATTTGTCGTATACGCCAGTCGTAAATGCGGACAAGGCTGCTCTCTTTGTTTTCTCCTCGGCAAGATGCCGATGTCGTTGGCGAGGCTCGGTAAAAGTCCATTGGGTCTGAGCACAAATTACTCTCCTGCCACGCCAATTATCGGCATCTCTGCAACTGAGACACTGCTTAGCAAAGTCCACAGAGTGGATAGGAGCCTGAGAGCATTATCAGATGATTGTAACCATGTCGTCTTTACAACAACTTTACAAGGCAGATTCCGAGCCCACAGCTGGGCGGCTTGATTTCTTGCTGCTGATCTGTCATTATTAATGGTACCTTGATGATTTTCAAGGTTATCAAGAAGACTACCTCGATCTACTTTGTTTTCACATCGCTACAGGAGCTCTCATGGCTTCAGATCTACGAGTCGATTTCATCGTAGTTGGCGGAGGCACCTCTGGCTGCGTGGCTGCAGCACGGTTAGCTGGTTCTGCGGCGCGGCCGACAGTATTACTTATCGAAGCTGGGGGGCCGAATAGCGACAGCGATTATCGAGTTGATGCCGACCGCTGGCACCATAAGAACACCATCCCGGACGGCAATTGGGATTACTTGACTGAGCCACAAAAGCACCTGAATCACCGCCGAATCGACTATAGTCGTGGAAAGGGCCTTGGCGGAAGCAGTGTCATCAATTTTGGATGCTACACCGTTGCTCCTAAAGATGACCATGACGAGATTGCTCGAATTGTTGGCGACGACGAGTGGAAATGGGAAAACGCTCAGCAGAGGTACAAGCGACTCGAGTCATACAAGGCGTTCGACTCGGATATCCCTACCAGTGTTGGCAAATATCTTGCACCACAGCCTGACGACCACGGCCATTACGGTGCATTGAAAATTGGATTCCCCGCTGTGTGGGAGCCAAGTCTAACAAAGGAGATGGATCAGTTGTTTGAGGCGGGCATTCCCCCAAACCGGGACACGAATAGCGGAAACCCCCTCGGACTCGCAGTATGCCCAAATACAGCCTACAACGGTGAACGGACCAATGCCTCGGACTTCCTCACAAGGGTTCCCAGAAACCTGTTCGTTGTCACGCAGACTCAAATCGCCCGGGTGATTTTCGAGGGCCGACGGGCGGTTGGCGTGGAAACTCTGGATGGACGAAAATTCTTTGCTTCCAAAGAAATCCTTCTCTCGGCGGGCTCTTTGGACACTCCACGGGTGCTCATGCACTCGGGGATAGGACCAGGGGATCAATTACGGCGATACGGAATTCCGGTAGTGGTCGACAACCCGTCCGTTGGGCAGAATCTTCAAGATCATTACCATATAAGTTGTGCCTGGCAACGAGCTGAAAGCACGAGCACGCGACCGCAGTACTACAGAGACAAAGCCGCCCAGCAGGCTGCGCGGAAAGAGTGGGAAGAGAGTCGGACTGGTCCATTGGCCCACTTGACCACTTGCATGGGCATCGGGTTTTTGAAGTCAGACAAGGTCTTTGACAGCAAAGAGTTCAAGGAGCTACCCAGCGGGACCAAGCAGCATCTGTTGCGCCCGACGGTGCCAACTTTTGAGATCACCATCGGTGCTCCTTACTCCGGCTACTTCGATGACCCCGAGAGCGCGCCAGCCGCAAGCGTCATCTACATGCTGTTGATGAATTCGCAATGTCGAGGCAGCGTGACGCTTCAATCGTCCGATCCCAGCGTCCCCCTGGCGTTCGACCCCAAGCTCTTTTCCCATCCGTACGACAGAAAAGTCGCAGTCGAGGCGTATCGAGAGGTCGCTAGAATTGTTCGCTCTCCAGCGTACGCGAGAGATACCGTGGGGCCTCTATCGGCACCCAAAAACGAATCAGAGGAAGAGATTCTCGAGTTCTGGCGAGAAAAATGCACCAGCACTTGGCACATGTCGTGCACTGTGGCCATGGGAAAGATTGATGATCCAAAGGCTTGTGTTGATACCAGCTTTCGAGTTTTGGGAGTTGCAAACCTACGAGTGGGTGATTTGAGTATCCTGCCGTTCTTGACGAAGTAAGTCTTCATCTTTGCGAATCCAGCACGTTCAGTGTCTACCGAGTTTACGACTAACAGGTTATGCAGCGGCCACAGCCAAGCGACGGCGTATCTTATCGGTTTGATGGCGGGCGACAAGCTGGTGGCAGACTATCGACTTGACGACCAGGGGAAAGCGCCAATATTCGGACGCCTGTAGCTTAGTACTCTAGAGAATTGGAGTCACGAACTCATCAGCATTTAAATCATTCTTGCGGAAGCGGGTGGTCCCTTGAACTTATTTGGTCTTCTCTCAACACATCCAAACCTATTACGAATGAAGATTCTTGGTGATAAAGGTGACGTGGAGGGTTTCAAGCTGCCATCGCCATGTAGAAGTGAAACTACTTTCTCGAGAAGATCTAAGTACAAACTGTACAGGAAAGAAAGAAACGGCCTATATCGGGGATAAGATGAGAATCTTGGGTTCAAAAAGTGGGATTGTTTCCCGCTAGATTTGGCTCTATCACATGTATCATACATGATAAAGATATGGAAAATCAGTTAGGCACCATACCAGCATCCGCCATAGCAGCTTTTCTATCGTTGACAACCTTGATTATCGCAGGGCGAGCCATCATTCTCTGCTGCCAAGCATTGTACGCAGGGAACTCTTTCTCAACATCGATAGTCAGTTCGCTTGCACCCCTGCTGAAAAGCCACGGAACCAACATGTTCCAAGTCACAAAAGAGAGATCGGCGATGGTGCTTTGATGCCAAAGTCAGAGGGTAGTCGATACATGAGGATGTGGCGACTGGAGGCTTACAATTTATCTCCCACGAGATAGTCCCTGCCCTGTAAGTACCTATCCAGGACCCCAACCACGCGCCTGATTTCCCGTAGGTATCTGTCTATGGCACTCTGGAGCTTCTCTTCGTGGTACAGTATAAACCAAGAAGCTTGGCCGAAGTATGGGCCCTGACCGGACATCTGCACGACAGAGTTAGCATGGCCAGAAAGCTCGACACAGGTTTCGGCATGGATCTCATCACTTGATAATAGAGCCACTGCTTCAATTTCCACTTCTCGGGGGAAGTAGTATAGGTAAAGACTTCTTCCTTGTCGTAGGTCTCGACAAGATATTCGATGATGGCAACAGATTCCCAGATTGTGATCCCGGTATTGGGGTCCACAATAGCGGGAGCTCGACCATTTGGGTTGATCTTTTCAAATGGGTCTTGTTTCATTTCTGGTTTGTCTGTGTTACCCTGTCAATGGTAGCTGGGCCTGTCGTTGTTGGCTGCTACATACCCAAGAACTTGGTGACATACGGGAGCTTGAGCTCTTCTAGCGCAATCGCAACTTTCCACGGGTTCGTGCCACGCCCTATGACGATCAGCAAAGTCTTTGTACTTTGATAACAGCTCTTGATTGGCTTACTGTAGCTATAGAGAATGATGGGCTTGGTCATTGTTATACTGGGTCTCGAATCTCAAGTTGCGGATGAGAATCTAGCCAACAAAGAAGTAGTTGATGAAAACAGTGTCGAAGAACAATAGATCTCGGTCGCCCATACCTCCCAATAACGCTCATCAGCTCGCCTCTGACGATATATATGATATTGTTCGCGTTTTACCTGGGGCTGATTTGTAAAACTACCAGGTACGCGGCTAGATCGATCTATTGCCAAGTCTCGACGTGGTGCATCGATATCATTGTCTCCTCGGTATGTTCCCGACCCTCCCAATCATCATTCATCCCCTTACAGTGAAACGCTGAACTTGCTTGCGTAATCTGGCGTAGTCGACTTCGTCACTCGTGGCACTCTGACTGTCTCGCCTCAATCCCCTGCTGGGCATACTCCGGCAGGCCGAGCAAGTGTATCTGGCGGTCTATCCCCATATTCCAAAAGCTCGCAAAACGACCAAAGACTCGATTAAGAGATTCAAGCTTGTCAAGCGCCGCCATAACAATAGAACTCTTGGGCACCGGCTTCCTGCCAGTGCCGACTCGACCCTTGCTCTACAGCTAGAATTAAGCCGTGTTGGGCGCAGATGCATTTTCTTTGGCGACCAATCCAGGTAGAATCTAGGTGCAGTCCACGCTACCAAAAAGCGTATTATTAGCATAGATAGAAGTCGTAAGGAGTAACCGTACCAGGCTATCTCGTTAAAAAGATTATGACCCTTTCTCTGTCAATTCATATTTTCTATGTTAGCTTTTCCATTCTCCTGATAAGTTCCTCCCGTATACGGATGACGCCCGCTAAAAATAGTCATAGTCGTACTCATAACGTGAGTCGTGAAGGCTAACCCTGAACATTTTCATGTAGCCCGATATGTAATGAATTCCATCTTTACTGGTTGTGGTGCGTCAGTACCCAGAACGGGTTCTCTTGCGCACGGACGAAAGGCCCTGCACACCTATACCTCGTGCAACTTGACATCTTGGAAAGCAGTGGTTAGCTCGAGAATTCTGTTGCTCAGTCGTGCATCGAAAATCGCGTGGAAGTGAACTTGGGGCTCATCTTTGGGCAGATAGAACTTGGACAGAATGTCCTTGCACATCGCCCACGTGTGGACACCCATTAGCACTGACTGTTCGTCAAAGCTGCGAGTGAACCATTCGTCCGCGCTCAAGGCTCCGACGTACAGAATCCAGAGCCTTAGGCGGGGGTTCAAGACCTCCGCATCAAGACATGATCGCATGCGTCCCAGCATTTTCGGCCCGGCATTGTAGATAGAGGTAGCACCGACCGGGATGTTCTCCAGTGCACTGGCTAGTTTGAGGACGTATGCGAGTGCAAGGCTCGCGGAGACATCACGACCATCGACGGCATGGTTTACTGCTCTGCCAATCAGCACCAGCGTCCGCATCCTCAGGAAGTTCCAGGCAGCAGGGCGTGGGGAAGGGTCGCTAATGACAAAGTCATAGAGGGCGTCCAGTTGTTGTAGCTCAATGAATAGTGCGCGAAGTGATCCTTTCAAACAAGAGTCCGGATAGACATCCATGATGGGCAGCGGCACCTCAAAGGGAACCGTCACCCATCCCTCCATAGGCAATAGAGTCCGCGATAACGACAACGCGGCACGATGGATGTCCATCTGGAATACGCTGATCCATTTGTACGGCACAATGCTCGATGGATCTTGCCGAAGTTGGGATTCCATGATAATGTTGGCCATGCGCAGGTGGGCTAGCGCATCATCGCAGTTATCAGCCCAGATCTCGGCAACGAGGAAGTGCATCAAGACATGCAGCGGCGGTTGCCCATGTTCCTTGACGTACTCCTGCACCGCATGCAAGCCCTGGTAACGATGTACGAGCGATAGTCTGAGGTAAGCAGAGTCAGGAGAAGACTGGGCCATGAGGGTCAGGGGAGTCGACAGAAAGGCGAGAGCGGTCATATTGTCGCACAGCGAGTCCGACGCGAACGATGACCATGATGGCAGGATGTTGCCTTTGCCCTGTGCTTGGAGGCGAGGTCCAGGCCCCTGGATGACGGGGAACACACAGCGGCGCTCAAAGGTCATGATCTCGTTGATCCGCGAGGTGACCGGGACAGGCGTAGAATTGAAGGGATCGGAATTGCCCCGGAACGCGACGATGCTCTGGATGGGCCACTCTTGGGTTTCCTCCGACTTGATGCGCGCCCGCTGGTCATCATCGTATTCATCGTCGTCGTCTGCCCTCTTTTGTACCTCTTTGTCTTTTGCATCTCGCCTCCTCTGGCTTGCTGCCGCCTGCACTCGTGGGATCACCACCGACTTCCTCATCGACCGAGCGGCCTCAACCCGGCGCCATTTATGGTACCCTGATTGGATGTGTGAGAAAACCTTATGGCGATGTGGTCCCGCCTTGCGGTTTTTGGCGTCATGGTGGACCCAGAGCAGATCGCCCGAATATGCCATGGGGTCTGGATATGAGGATCGATAGGACAGAGCATCACGGCGGTGCCATCGGTGCGTGTTTGTGTGCGCGCGCTGTGGAAAACATGGGCGACGTTCGAAAGCAATGGAGATAGGAATGACCAAAATGCGAGAGCAACGAAGAGGAAAAGCGTGGAGACCGGAGAGAAATGTTCCGGGAGCGGACCAGGCACATTCGGGTAAAATGTTTTAACTAAGCTCCTAACTAATCGAGACGTTTTAGTTAAAGCCCTACCTAGTTAGGGCATTGACGCGCCTGACTAGGGCCTCTAGCTTGCACTCCTTAGCGAAAGAGGGCACCTGTTGATCTCAAAAGCGGCATGCTCTTGATGCGACAGGAAAGTCCGCTTGGGCCTTCCGCGTAAGAGCGGCGCTCTTAGTGGATAAATCCAGCTAGCTCCAAAAAGCTCAGGAACCTCTCCCACAAGAACCACGGACGCCATCGCACGATCATTCGTTCCCAACACCATGCCACAAGGTTTGCGGGGTTGCGTACACCGCCACCGGGCGGCGAGCTCTACTACGTACCTCATCTTCGAATGCTTCGCCCATTCCAACCTCCAGACAGGATCAATGTCCGCCTTTGATTGATCCTAAGAGGGGCGCGATGACTGATATTCGACCTAATCGACCTTTGCATGCGCAGTGCACAACACGCAAACCAACGGACCAATGCAGGAACCCGCCGTATCTAATTCGATGAAGGTGTGATCCTCGACATGGCCACCGCTCCAATTAAGAAGGCATGTGATGCTTGTCATCGACGCAAAGTACGCTGCTCCGGGGGACAGCCATGCCGGACCTGCGGTCAGACCAACCTTGAATGCACCTATCTCGCTATTCCTCAAAAGAAAGGGCCCAAAGGGAATCGATCCAAAATCCTCTCGCAGATCCGCAATTCTCAAAAGAAGAAACAGCCGCATCTTCCTCAGACGTCACCTTCTGAGTCCACTCCTCAGCAGTCACCGAGTCAGGAGCTGAAACCTTCTCTAGGCTTCAGCAGCCCATCACCAACAGTCCCGTCTCCAGGGTCCCCCAATACCGCTCTCCTCAGTAAGCAGACAATTGAGAATTGTGTGGATTTCTACTTCTCCAACATGTCTACCACTACCTCGATCCTCAATCGGCATCACCTGATAGATATGATTGACTCCCGGCTTCCCACCGATACAGAATTCTACTGCCTCGCAGGATCCTTGTGTGCATTTGTCATGGTTCAACCTGGAATGAATTTAGCTGTCGCCCCAGGATGCCACTACGAAGGTGAGCCTCCCGAAAACCGCTACGGATATGCCAATATGCTTCTCAACGACGTCCTCCGCGCGCGAAAGTCCATCGACTACGTCGAGTTTCCCACTTTGAGCGCCGTCCAGACGTCATTTTTCTTGTTCAGCTGCTATTTCACCTTGGAACAACAGAATATATGCTGGTTTCATTTGCGTGAGGCCGCAACTCTGGCTCAGCTGATGAGCATGCACGAAGAGTCGTCGTATCTCGTCGGTGATCCCGTCGAAAGCATGTATAAGCGACGAATGTATTGGTTGCTCCTGGTCACAGAGAGAGCATATGCTATGGAACGACACCGTCCGCTCAGTCTACATCCGACCATTGGAATACCATCGGCCAACGAGCCACACGAGGAAGAACGAATGTCCGGCTTTCTCTGCTTGATTAACCTCTTCCGCTGCATTGATGATGAGTTCATGGCTCTCTGGAACAAAGTGAAGACCGAATGTTCCGACACCTGGCTTTCGCAGCTCCAGCGACAGGTCGCAGACTCCGTCCCACGAGGACTAAAGACAACAGAAAGCCAAATGGCTGATGTTCGGGTCACATTACATTGGTTACGCATCATGATCTGGCAACTTTCCATAACAAATGGTTATCTTTCATCGACGTCTGCCCATTCCTGCATGACATTCAAATATCCCATAGAAGTCACTAGGGACTTGATTCAGGATATTTCAACCCTGACGCTGGATGCGATGGAGGTCCATGGTGTGGGGTTGATTGAGAAACTATTCGACATAGCCTGTACGCTCACCGACGTCATCTCGTGTGTACCGCTCATGCCTTCGGAAATATCGAATTCAAGTAACGAGACGCCCTTCGAATATCTAAACAAGCTCCTCACCCTCATTTCCCAGCTGCGAGGCGGCGCGTCAAGGTATTTCCCCTTGCTACTCGTCAAAGTCTCGGAGACCTTACCTAGTCTGCCTCCCGTCGTCCCAGTGGACCTGGATCCGATGCAGATGAGCATCAAGCAAGGCTATGCAGGTGCGAGCGATCACATTCCCACACCGGAGCCAACGCAATTGCGAGGGATAAAATTCCCACGCCCAAGTCAACAAAGTCCTCCTCCCTAGAAAGCTTCGGCTTAAATGCTTCCACCACTATGGGCCATGCACGCCTCAGGAGCAAGAGCATGGCCCATCCCCAGGTGAACCTGGTCGCAAAAGATCCGACACACGCAATCTCATCATGGCTGGTAAGGAACGCTCGTGGTTGACACCCAGCTTGTGCGCCGCTAGCTGGGCAGCTCTTTTGGCGAGGCCAAGGGGGAGACTTTATAATGGGCTCGTCTCTGCACAGAAGCGTGGCTATGGGAGTACGCGGCGGGTGTAGCTCAAACGTCTGCCTGGATCATGCGAATATCAAGGCTACTTACTTCGCCAACAATCCTAAACGCATCGGTGTCTTCCATTGGAGTCTCGGTCTAACGGCTTGTTCTTATGGAAACTCGAGTTGAGCGGAACCAGTGAAGGTGCCATCGCTTCTAGGAAGAAGGGAGGTGCTAATGTGTCTGTTGCTGCAGTGAGCGGCGCCTCGAATTCGAGAATTATCGCGCAACTTTTGGGGCTATGGGGAACAAATAGGACATGAAGCACTGAGAGACGAGGGAATTCTCAAGCGAAAGAACAGAGACAACATGGTGAATCGAAAGGTGCTGACTATGCCCAGAAACCCTTGTCACCTGCTGGCCGGGGAAATGGTTGAAATTGAGTCAGGAACTGACCAGCATGAGGTGAAAGATGATCCCTTCAGTCGCTAGGGACCAACTAATTCTTCGCTTCTCTATGAGTCATGAATTTTGACCCATGTGGTCTTTTAATGAAACCGGCCTGCTTGCTCAGAGAGGGCAATGTCTTGAAGTTCTCTTCTTCCGTAAGACAAGGCGATCAGGTAGGCGAGCAGCCATAAGGCGCCCTCACCAGTTCTGCTGCTCGAATCACTTTCCTCCCATGCTAGAAATGACATCCCTCTGGGCCTGTCTTTCACGATTGACGCCTGTCAACGGAGCCACGCTTCTCAGGTCGCCCACCACGTCTTTTGCTTTGCCGAAATATACCTCTTGAAGCATGTTTCTCATCTTGCCTTCCATGTCCTCGATCAAGCGGCCTGCATTGCACACGTGGCCTCCGTCTTTGCCCTGTCCACCGACGTTCTCCACCACCAGGTCGGCCTCGACTTGTCTCGTCATGCTTCCGGACAGGTTCAATGACCCGAGTCCCTCGCTATCGCGACCAAGATGCAAGATGACGGTGCTGGTCAGCTTGTAATGACATGTCCTTCCACTGCCCCTTCTCTCATCGACTTCAAAAACGTGTATGCTATCCCACCCGGCCTCCTTTCCCACGGCTTTTTTCAGGAGGACTACTCCTGCGAATCCGTCATCCAAGTCCCACAAGTATACCGACCCCGTCCCGCCCTCGTAGTACATCTGCCTGTACACATCGAATGCGGTGTTTGCCTCGACTTCCATCTTCCGGACCCGGTCGCTGGGGTATGTGGCATCGTCTAGCGGAGGTTCGAATTCATTGCTCCAGGGACTCCGGTATGAGTCGCCGTCGCGGTTGTAGTCACATAACAGGTAGTCCCGGCCTGTCTTTTTGCAGCGTGCTGAGGTCAGCGGTTGGTCGACGGAGGAGAGGAGGTCTTCGGTAAGATCGGGCACGAGCGTGGTTATGGAGGTCAGGTTGTCTGACACCTTGAGGGGGGAGAGGCGACGGAGGAGATCTCTGGAGGGAAATAGAACAAGCAGATATCGGTTAGCAGGAGCAACGTCCGAACATTCCCATCGTCTCGTGGGCTGACTGGGAAAATGTGAGAGCTTTGGGAGCTTACAAGGCGGCATCGAATTGGGCTTCGCTTGCCATTGGGCAAGCAGTTCAGCCGTTCTGTTTTGCTTGAAGCGCCAGGCTATTCAATCGAAAGACGGGACGTGATCGTAACGGATGAGACTCAGGCCAGCTGGGGGTTATTCCTGGGAGAAGCGTATGGATCGACTCAGTCTAGAAACTTGACGGCGTGGAGATGTGTACTGTCTGGCTTGACAGCGGGCGAGAATCGCGGGGTGAATTTCATGGGCGGGAAGGTGAGGCGCAGTTGAAAAATTATTTGTCAGACGAAAACATTTTCTTCATCACTTCTATGGTGCCGGACAATCACTCATCTCATACTCGGTATATCCTCCTGCAATAATGCCCTTTGCTTGCCCGCTTCTATCACTGAATCCTTGATCAGAAAATCCTCGCTGCACACACTGGACAGGGTCTGAGGTGAGGCATCTGGCTGCGGAAGCTCTGGACGGTGAACAGATGCGACGTGAAAGCCGGTATATCTCTGAAAGTATCGTAACCCTCACACAGGCCGCAAAATATTTGTCCCACACCATCTAGACGCATAATCACTCCTTCAGAGGAACAGTGTCGGCGTAAAGATGCTTCGTCATGGCTGCGGGATATCGGTCGCCTGTGATCTCGGCGGCCTCGACCTTCTGTCTGATTTCCTTCTCTTCTTCCGCCGTCAATTTTATTTGCAAACTGGCCATATTCTCGTCAAAGTTCTTCGCTTTGGTCGTGCCAGGAATAGGAATAATATCGTCCCCTTGAGCCATCAACCAGGCCAGCGTCAGTTGACCAGGTGTCACGTTTTTCTTCTCGGCGATACTACTAATGGCGTTCACAAGATCCATGTTCTTGTGGAAGTTCTCCTTCGAGTATCTAGGCATGGCTCGGCGTCGATCCTCTGGTTCAAAGTCGTCGTGTGACTTAATCGTGCCGGTCAGAAATCCTCGACTGAAAGGTGAATAAGCTACAACTGCGACTCCAAGTTCTCGACACGTTTTCAAGAGATCGTTATGCTCGATCTCCATGGAAAATGGCGAATACTCGACTTGGACAGCCGCAATAGGATGAACCTTGCAAGCTCGTCGGAGTGTATCAGCAGAGCACTCGCTCAATCCGAGATAGCGGATTTTGCCTTCCTTTTTCAGCTCCGCCATTGTCTGGACGGTGATCTCGATGGGCTGGTTCCGGTCGACACGATGGCAATAGTACAGATCGATGGCATCTCCCGGCTCTAGTCCAAGCCGCCTGTGTGATTTGGCACACGCCTCGCGGATGTATGCCGGGTCGTTGTTGACCTTTGATGTTCCATCGGGTTGTCGGATGTTGGCAAATTTCGTGCACAGGAAGATCTTACTCCTGTTACCCGTCTTCTTGAACCACCTGCAAAGCGAGAATAAGACTAGTCAGCAGGCTGGCCAGTGGTCGTCATCCTCAACAGGGTAGACTTACTGGCCAAGCAGATCTTCGCTATCTCCATATACATCTGAAGAATCCCAAAAGGTCTCTCCTGAGTCGAAGACATGGTCCAAAAACTTCAGCCTCTGGTCATCTGGAAGCTTTTTCCCATAGAAGATTGACAATCCCATCAGGCCAAAGCCTAGTGCGGTTACTTGGGGACCATCTTTGCCCAATTGACGGGTTGGAAGACTCGGTGCCATCCTGCTCCTTGCCTTCTACTTAGCGAATCGCGGGGTCTGGGATGAATTCTCTTAGGGAAGGGGTTTTCTCTCTTTTTCAGCAACAGAAAATCTACCGATAACGAAGCAAAGGGGGATTTTATACTCTTTTATGATGAAGTCAGAGCACCGATTCGAAGCCACTTCTGCCCCTCATCAAACGGAGTTAAGCCGACAGTCGCCGGGCTCGATCTGCTCTTCACCAACCTTTCCAGGCGTTTTACGATGATGCCAGGGTCAGATTCTGACTTATCTCCAGCGGATCTCCGCACACTCTCCAACTTGGTCGCTTTGATCAGTCCAAGTACAAGCGACAGGGTCTAATTGCCGAAGACAAGATGAAGATGGGGCCAGCTAGAAGGCTTAGTTGTACTTCCTGAACTTGGGAGTGGGAGAGTGCGAGCTGAGAGCCCTACAAGCAGTATCCTCATCGCGGTTGGCCATGGCGCACCTCGTGCAAGGTCCTCGCGATAGACTAATTGCATCCCCCAAATCCCACAGTCACTTGTCCCCAGCAATGATGTTGTTCTATCCACTTGCCGCAGGATTGACGACCGCTGACCTGAGTGCGATATGCGAGTGGCGGGGCTGTCGTCACTACTTCGACCGCCACCTCCACCAAAATCCCCTTTGGTAGAGCGGAAAACGTGTCTTTTAAATCACGCAGTTCGATTTACCTCATGGACCATTCGAGTGCGATCCTCGCTGGAAGTTCTCAGGAGCGTCAACTGCCATCCAACGCTGAAAGGTCTTCGGCTTAAACTTGCCGCATCGCAAGAAGAAAAACCTTCGAGGCCGAGACTCACATATGTCAGCCTTGGACGCAGCACATCTCTTGCTTGATGAAATCATCGCCTTAAATCATCACGATCCAATTAGATTGACCTCCAGCGTTGATGGACCAAGTCATGGCTTATTAGCCCTGCTCGTGTTGGGACATCTGCTCAGCTCGCAAGACCTCCCGACACGAACACCTCAATATGGAAACTCTAACCTGAGTTTCGGTCAGAAATGCTTTACAGCTGGCAACCTACTGAACCTTCCGGATGCGCGGCGAGAGAAAAGTTAAACAATGAACAACGAGCGCTTCTTTTCACGACCGCACTCAATGCCCAAGCTCATAGTGACGGTCTCGACGTCCCGTCTGTGGCCCCATCCCCAGTCTTGGTGCATAAACCGAAAAGAAGGCTCTTCTTTGGAGGAACAAGGCTCCATAGATGTCAAGAAATTCAACTACAAGGCTTATCGCATATTTGATCAACGGCGATCCAGACCCTCTTGCTGCTAGCAGGAATGGCAATCACCAACATTTCGCTTGACCAGCCCCTCATTGCGCAACAAGTCACCTGTTATTACCCTATCAGCGACATATATTCGCCCACTCCACGGTACCTTTACTATGTCCTCCTGGCATTGAGCTTTCTCACAGCTAGCCACGGGTGGGTCGCTCACATTATCTTCGGAGCGGCGGTCGCGTATGCTGCTACCGCGTCGATCGAAGCCTTTATCCTGCTTTCCGCTCAGCTTGGCCTACCTCCAGCACAGAATGTCACCGTAGCCTATCTGAGCCCAGAAAACTCCACGGGCGCCTCAAATGCCTTGCAAGCACTGGTATCAAACACCACCTCTGTTCCTGTACAGCCGGACTACTTGGAGCTGGATATCGATGCGGTCACTTGCATCGTCGTTACTGCGTATCTTGTAGGCCTACCACTACAATGCTGGTCAAGCACTGCTCGAACAAGTCGAATTCTCCACCTGCTGATCTTCATCTGGAATATGATTATGCTGGCGGGTTCGATATCAGTTCTCATCCTTTGGCCGACTCTGAATGTTGGAAAACCCCAATATCGATTCTGTTATTCAGGCATCGAAGACAGCAACACAATACAAAGCAGCGGGTGGGAAGATCAATACTGGGCCGGGTCTTGGAATTCAACCATATGGGACCTCTTTGGTCCATCGGTGATTGACAATGAACGGTGGTTAAACCTTTCGACCAACTGCTTTTATCCATGTTTCAATACCTCGCAAATTCTGAGAGAGCCGACACGGCTAAGGGCGACGGTAATCGGCACCGATGGGCCTGGTGATAGTCTGCATACTTGGAACGCTTGGGAAGGCGACGAATTCCAACCCCTCGTTTATACAGCCATTGCCCTCTTTACCGCCGCCCATCTATTTCTTCTGGTTGTTGGGCGATTGAACCTGTGCACTTCCAGAGTGCCCATACACCGCCCGTTTCAGCTTTGGTTTCGGCGGAAGGAGATCTTCAGTGCGTTCGTGGCTGATGTCAGGGCTGGTTATTCGAACACGAGAGAGTTTCTACGACATCCAGTGCCTTATTTCGCATCGATACGAACCGTTAGGCTCCACCACGCAGCAAAGGTCACGCGGATACACAAGCATCCAGTTTCCCGCTTCGTGATCGATGTTATAACGCTTTGCGTCCTCCTCGGAGTCATGCTCTTTGGACCGCTGATCATTATCGCTTTCATTATATGGATTGAAGGTTATATTCACTCAGACGGCGAGCCCAACGAGCAAGTCCAAGCCGTGGGCCAATGGCAGGTCATTGTCCAGATCGGCATTGTGCTTCTGGCTGCAGTGGTCCTGAGGCTGCGGTACAAAGTGGCTTCGGAGGAAGAGATCCAGCGAAATCTGAGACATGCCAGGCATCATGTCGAGAAGCTAGAGCAAATCGCAGAGCAGAAGAGAGTGGACAGAGAAGCCGCGGATGCAAGGAGAAGGCAGCGAGGAAGTCGCTACAACTTCTTTCGGCGGTGGAAGAAGAAAGCGGTAAGCGAGGAAGAGGGAAGTAAGCCCGATTCTCCGTCCATGGGCTCTGCAGAAGAAGCACCCCCGGAGTCACAGGGGGTGAGAGGAGAGAAACGAGAGTCCCCTTCATTGACAGGAGGACCGGAACCGTAAATTGCGTTGAACGGGGGGGTTATGCATTGGTCTGTACAGCGAAAACGCACAGCAGTCAACAACTCCTACATAGATAGCTCCTCTGCTGCGAAGACCTCTACGTCAGAAGCTCAGTAGAGCTGATTTATAATTGTGTAGATATGATATTGGTTCAACTTCTACAGTACAATGTCTTGTGAGGGAGCGCATGAGCTTTGCCCTGCTAGTTTTAGGGCGAAAATGAACAACAAATTCAGTTATCGTGTGGGCCGCAGAGACGGGTTATTGTGACGGCGTTCTCACTAGGGCGTAAGAATGTTGCAGCTACAATCCACATTGACGAACGAAGGCACCTCCGAAAGCACGGACGCTCCACCTGGATGGTATGGGCAAAGCCTTCACCTCGAATTTCATCTTCCATTATCAGGGTTTGTGTCATCCCAGCTGCCGCGATAGTGACGACAGGCTGGAATATAGGCCACACTCTCAAGAGTATCCTGGAAGCCCCTTATCCCCAAAATGTAGACGCGGACGGCAACTCAGCCTCAGCAATCAATGGAAACCGGCAGTCGATGATTCAAGAGATCTGGGATATTGTCATTCCTAGAGCCATTGCATGGCAATCATTGTCAGCAGAATCCTCGCACCATCACATGAGCCCCTGTATCGAGAAATGTTCCGCTGCCCAATGCATGTATTTGAATTTTCTAGGCCAGATGGATGGCCGCTCTTACTGTGCTTTCGTGACGATATCCTTTCAAGCGCCGCTAGCACATAACTGCTGGCTGATTTCTGCCTCGCATACCTTATAGGCTCTTCTCACCGACTGGCTGGACCGGCCCTTTTCCACATGCACTGGCGAGATACTGCCAAGTTGTGGCTGTGCAGCTCAAGCAATCTTGCCACTTTTATGTGGCTGCGCTATCCAATCATAAATCCTACGCTAGTCAAGATACAGTTAGTCCACAGTACCATCTGCAACCGGCGCTTTCACTTTTTAAGGTCCTCATTTTGGTCTTGGCACTTGTCGGAGGAAGTACCAGGCCTTCTGTCAGCCAGCTATTTGCAAGCGGCCCATCCGATATTCACTTTTACTCTCAAGTCCTTCAATCTTGAATGCTATTGAAACGAGCGCCAGTGGGCATGGCCCTTCTAGGTGGAATGATCGACTATAGTTGGAAGCAGCAACCACCACGAGACTTCTCATTCAAAGGAGCGAGCTCCTAGAACCATCCACCTCATCCGTAACTCAATTCCTCGCCTTCACCTTTGGCTGGGTCAACGCCGCAACGATGACCGGTAACACGCTGACCATCTCACCGAGACCTGCATAGGCTGGAGGAATGCGGACTTTGACAAAAGCTCCTCCTGCGAGCAAGATGGCAAGCATATTATAGACGGCCGACCAGACGAAGTTGAAGGTGATGCGTCGGAATGCGGCCTTGGACACATCCAATAAATTGACCACGCCGTCGAGATTGCGAAGGAGGACAACGTCCGCCGTGGCACGCGTGACATCCGAGGAGGACTCGATCTGGACCCCGACATTGGCTTGAGCCACCGCGACAGCGTCATTTGTCCCGTCTCCGCAGAAAAGTGTGACCTTCCCGGCATCCATGAGTTGGCGTACATAGTCTTGCTTCTGCGCCGGGGTTCGCTCTGCAGCGATGTTGTCCAGAGGAATCCCAAGGTCTGCTGCTACACCTTCCACGACACGGCGCCCATCGCCACTTACGATATGAACATCGATGCGCCGTCGGTGAAGCTCTTGAATGATACCGGTCGCTCCTTCACGAAGCCGAGACTTCAGCCCGAATATTGCAGCCAAGCAGCCATCGACCGTGACGCAGAGAACTGTCAAACCTTGTGCCGCAAAGTCGACGACCTCAGGCCTCTCGCTGATATTGAGCCACTTTGCATTCCCGGCACGGATTGTCAATCCTTGCCACTTCGCTTCAATCCCACAGCCAGGAATGGACGAGACTCCCTCCATCTCTGTCTGGCCGAGGCCCCGTGCATCAAGTGTTTTTGCCACGGCTTCAGACACTGGATGTTTGTTGCTCTTCACCATTTTCAAAATCAAGGAGAGCAGGGTGTTTCGGCCAGTTCTGTCAGTGGGGAAGAGTTGCTCTTTCACGACTTCAAGGCTTGGCTCAGTCAATGTTCCAGTCTTATCAAAGACCACGTCGGTGACCTTGAAGCCACGTTGGATGACATCCGCAGTCTTGATGATGACACCTCCACGCGCAGCCACCCCTCCAGCGACGACAAGGACCATCGGAACCGCCAACCCAAGCGCACAAGGACAAGTGATAGCCAGGACCGCAATGGCATAACCTATAGCAGTTCCAATAGCGTCACCAGCAGGTTGTTTTCGAATCTTCAGCACAACCAAGACCCAGACGGTGAAGACAATAACGGCGACCGTGCATACAACAGGGACAAAATATCCCGCTACCTTATCTGCCAAGTCTTGGACGCGAGGTTTGAAACTTTGTGCTTGTTCAACCAGGTTGGCAATATCAGTAATGGTATTCCTCCCTGGCAGGCGAGACACCCGTGCTATCAGTCTTCCGCTGCCGTTGATAGTTCCTGACACAACAGAATGTCCAGCGGTCTTGAAAACGGGGATACTCTCGCCTGTGAGCATTGCCTCATCCACCTCACTCGCTCCTCCAAGTACATCAGCGTCGGTGACGATCCTTGAATGGGGCAGTATTGAGATTCTGTCTCCGTATTGAAGCAATCGAGCATCGATCTCTCTGATTTGTTCTGTTGTTGGATCGATGAGCAGAGCTGTCGATGTTTGTAGAGATCTCAACGACACAGCCTGCACCGCTCGTTTACGAGCCCAAGCCGCAAGAAGCCGACCAAGGAGGATCAGCGTGACCAGCAGCGTACTCGTCTCGAAGAACGGTTTGGTCTCCAGGTCGATGCCCGCAAAGAAGAGGCCAGTGGCAATAATCGAATACACATATGCGGCTGTAATGCTGATGACCACAAGCATGTCCATCTCTACAACTTTGTTGTATACCAAGGACGACATGGCAGGAATGTAGAACTCGGAAACTGCAATTGCTTGAACCATTGTGGCAAGGACTACGGCAACAATCAGAGTGGTATGCTCGGAAACACCTGAGGGGCGGCCCCATTCGAGTACAACAACTGGGGTTGTCAGTATAAAGGCTGCGGTTGTCAAAGCAGAGACTCGAATGAGCCTGCGCTTCCCTTCATCAAGGTATGAGTCGCCGCGGGGAGGACCGAGTTGACCGTCAATACCAGCGAGCAAGTCTCTGGCACCAATCATGCATGGGTCATAGCTGATTTCATATGTTGTCTTGGAAAGCTTCTCGCAGCATTCGACACCATGAGGTAGGTTGTCTTGAAACCTGTTTGCTTCTGCCACACTCATAACGACATCGATACACTGGGTGTCGGAAGAGAATGGGGTCAACTTATAGCCAGTGGCCCTCTGGGCACTGCGGATCACGTTATCGAGGGTGTTGACTTCGGTGTCGAGGCGGAATTCGGCAACTCCACTGATGAAAGTGACCTTAACGTCCTTGGTACCATGCGCAGTTTGGAGTGCTCGGGTCAAGTTGTTCGCGCAGCCAGAGCAGTCCATCCCAGTAACATTCAGGAGAATGTGTGAGATCCCTGCTGCTTTCTCGATGTCCACCGAAGACTTGAGAACGGCCTCATCCTCGAATTGAACTTGATCAAGGCTCTCATGGCTGCCACAGCATTTTATCTCAGGTTGTGTTGACGATGAATTCTGTGGCGCCTTCTTGAGACGGCGGCGAGACAAGACAGATCCGTGCTCTTTCATATTGAGGTGATGACTGTGGGAAGTGCTGAATGCAGAGACGCCGATGGATGGAGGCTGTGGGCGGCAGGACTCAATACGCCTGGCAGAGGAAAGAATGCTTCGACAGATGCACTGAGCTGACTCAAGGTATGTGGCATACTTCTCCATTGCTGCTTTAAGATGGACGTTGCAAGGCTCGTCAAGGTGGGTGCCATCTTCACCGTGAGCATGCTCGTGAGCTGCGCTTCGGATATGCTCGCTCGTCGCGTGTCCTTCGGCATGACCGTGATGGGCATGATTTCCATTGTCGCAGCCATCGTGGTGGACGGCCTCTTCGTCGGTTTCGTGGCTGTTTGTTGCGCTCGAACACTCTCGCTGATTGACGCACGCCATGGAGCACTCAATGGCTGCGACAGTCTTGATGCAATTTTCTTCGAATCTGAATCAGCACAACCCCGGGGAAGGATACTGGGCCTTACCATTGCATCTATCGTCCTCACCGCACCGACTGATGGTGCCTACGTCGACTTCCGATGCTTCCACTGCCGAGCTGGTTGAATCACAACAGACGCGGTGAGCCAACGTCGAAAGCGTCGCCACCGGGCTTCCGCAGCAATTAACGAGGCCGTTGGTGGGCTTATCGGCGCCGGAAGAGGTCATCTTGATCCTTTGGCAGGGCTGTCAGGTTCTCCTTCTTGGGTTTGGAAATGGACAAGGGATATTCCAGCGTGGGTGTTGATGGCTCTCGATGAGGTGATGTTTCGGAATGGAAGCCTTCTACCGGCTCTCGGGAACGGTGAGTTGGCTTGGAGAATCTGACTTGGTCTACGGATCTAGACCCGACTGGGAAATTTCAACCGCAGCCACTTGGCACCGCACTGTGCTGGCCAAACGGCGTTCAGTCGACGAGATCAAGTGTTGCACAGCCTACCAACTGGAGGTCCACTGAATGACGGCGTCGATGGTTACAATCATGGACGGGGATGGAAGCAAGTGATGGTCTCAACCCCCGAGCGACACCTCTTTTCGCCGAAAAGACGTGACTGATCAGGGGAAATCTCTGCAGCCCAGGCAGTAAATGAAAGCCGTTATTTGATTCTGTTCATTGCTGGGCAAGCACGGACAATCACCGGCAAGTTTTACAAGCCCTTAGACCTACTAGCCTGCGGCTTACAAACGAGCTGCGACTCGTTATTGTTTCTTTCTTTCACCCTGCACGACCCCTTAATCCTCGCCTTGGAGAGAATTTCGAGGTTCTCTTGAGCAGCTGCTGCGTTTTCTCTTGCGAATTCTAGCTTCTGTCTGTCGCCTATCGTCAGCACAACCTTTTTCCGCGGTATTCAGGATGGCTCTGCGCCTGTCCAAGTCAACCAAGCTCATTTTACTCCTCGCCATTGATATACTCTTCTTTTTGGTGGAATTGATCGTGGGTAAGCTCAGAGCTTTGGATTATTCTAGTTGCCCGACTAGCTGACTATCCTTTTACAGGCCTCAGCGTCCATTCCCTTGCCCTCGTTGCTGATGCCTTCCACATGGTACCCATTTCCGACCTAACTACCTTATGAATCTCCTTCTGACCAGCCCTACCAGTTCAATGACATTCTGTCGTTGCTAGTCGGCCTCTGGGCTATCCAAGTCGCAACAACACACGAACCATCTCGCATCTACACATATGGCGTATGTTCTTCCCCTGAGTCTTGGAGAGTGTGACAAAACTAAGACACCATTCTTGTAGTGGCAGCGCGCTGAGACACTCGGTGCGCTGGTCAATGGAGTATTCCTCGTTGCTCTCTGCATGTCGATTCTCCTCGAGGCAATCCAACGCTTCGCCGAACCTCAAGAAGTCTCCAGCCCGATATTGATTCTCGTGGTCGGCTGCAATGGCCTCGCTTCGAATGTTCTCGGCATGGTCCTCTTACAGTGGCGCGAGGAACCTGAGCCGGAGGGTTTGCCAGATCAGGAACGAACAAATATACAAACGCCATCACCACACTATCGTGAGTGTCGACGGGTTGCGACCCTGTCACAGATCTCGGTGCATCCCACGACTTTGCGTTCCGATATCATCGCGGCTGGTCAATTACACCGGATCCCTGCCAATAGCAAGCATGAAAGCGAGACCCAACCACTCCTTGCGCCTCCCCCGATCGTCTCTGCATCTGAAGGCCAAGCAGAGTCTGTGGATCTACACAGGCACCATATACATAAGCAAAATGACGGCAGCAAAACAAATGACAAACATCATGACTTGAACATGACAGGAGTGCTCTTGCACGTTCTAGGGGATGCTGTGGGCAATATTGGTGTTATCGCCTCAGCCCTGTTCATCTGGCTGACCGACTTCACCTGGCGCTTTTACGCCGACCCCGCTGTCTCTGTTCTCATCACGGTTGTCATTCTACATTCGGCGGTCCCACTGGTGGTTGCGGCCTCCCGCATCCTCTTGGAAGCTGTTCCTGAGGGTATCAACGTCGATGAGATCAAACAGGACGTCATCGCACTCCCTGGCGTTGCGGATTGTCACGATTTGCACGTCTCCCAATTGAGTGACTCCAACGTGATCGCTACCGTCCACATCGAAGTTGACTACAATGTCATCAAGGACAACCACGAGCAGTATCTTCAGTTGGCCGGGGCCATTCGAGATTGTCTTTCTGCTTATGGTATTTCTACTGCTACCATTCAACCAGAGTTCTTCGCATCAAGAGTTGAGAGGACATCTGCATCACAAGACACAAGCCATGCAGGGCCTGCCTGAATCTAGACGTCGCACGATAATTGATGTCGCCTTTGGGATACACCGTCCGATCAATGGTGGATCAAAACATTTTGAAGCTCTATTGCCAAATACTTTCTTCCGTAGCTCCTTTCGATGTCAGATAGTTACATTGCTTCTCTCGGGCCGTGGCCGCATTGTAGCTTTGTCTTTTCATAAACCTTTCGCACTTCCTAGACTATCATCAGCACATCCTAATACACTTATCCCGAGCTGAAGGACGTACAATGGCGGCATCGCTGCCCCCATTCGAAAAAATCCCAACAAGAGAGCAGCAGACCTCGGAAGAACACCGCGTAAAACCACAGAGACGTTTCACCAAACGCTACAAAAGAAATCTCCTCAAAAATAAATTGATAGAGTATTGGATTTATAGAAGCGAATGACTAGTAGTACTCTACCTAGAAATTGGCATGGAAGGAAAGTGGGCATCTATCTAAGAGCAGACATGCATAACGCATACACTGCCACACGTGTCCAAATGAGATCAGTGTCGCTCATATCCTTGTTCTCTGTATCGGCCCTGCTCGTAGCCATGCTGGTTGTGGCCATCGCGGGAATCATGGTCCTGCTGGCCGTATCCAGCTGGTCTGTTTCCGTGCTGACCGTGCTCGTATTGTTCGTTGTAGCCGCGTTGCTCGTAGCCGTGCCCGTCAGCTCTTGCGCCGTAGTTGTGCTCCCGGCGGTCGAAACCCTCCCTTCCGTGGTATGCGCCCGGTTGGCCACCACCAATACCACCGCTGTGACCTTCTTGTCCGCCGTAGTAAGGTGTATGGCTCTGCTGGTGTGGTGGAGGAGGGCGCACACCAAAGTCGTTTCCGTGCTCGTTGTATCCGCCCGAGTAGGGATATTGGTTTCCGCTTTGGAAACCAGGGCCATGGGAAGAGGAGAAAGGGGGTCCTGCGTGTTCGTCTCCGGCAAGACGTCCCTCGCGATAGTCTCCATGGGGGTTGTTGCTGCCCATTTCTCCGTGCCTGCCGCTTGCCTCGTCGTAGGAGTAGTACGGATCCGTGGGATTTGGCGAGTAGTACGGCATTCCTTGGTGAGGCCCTGCACTAGGAGCACCACCCATCGCGCCGGGGAAGCCGCCTGTGGTATTCATGCACATGTTAACATGGTCATCGCATAATGCAGTAGGGAGGTTTTTTTTTTCTGAGTTAGTGGACGTACCGTAAGGTCGTGGATTCTGTCCCTCGCCCTCGTGCCTTTGACCGGTGACTGCATCCGTGATTTTGTGCATAATGGCAGAGCTACCTGAAGCCTGACCCTGGCCCTGGCCCTGACTCTGGGCTTGTTTCCCTCCCACCAGCTGCCCTGCCACTTTGAACAGGTTATCCATCGGAGGTGTCGAAGGGAGATTAGTTCTATCTGAGTGCAAAGGTTGGCAGGAGAGGCAAATAAGTCGGCTGGCAGGGTCCACGAGTGGTAGCTATCAGAGCAGAATGGCGATAACAGCAATCAGGATCGATGTGGCGATCACCTCAAAGGGGTTCAAAGGTGACAAGAAGGCTTCTCAGCTCGACTGGATCAAGTAGGCGGTAAAATAATACCATGACACCCAGCCCTCCGACTCCCGAGCCGGCCAGGTCACCTCGATACCCTAGTCTGGAAAGGGGAAGCGGACTCCTTTTCTCCGTCCTATGGAGGTCGAAAGATCCTTAACTGGCGGCTTCGTTCCATAGGAGCTAATATTAAGAATGATTTGTTTTTTAAAGACGAGAACCATAGTGTGAGGGACTTTCTCGGCTTTTGACAATTTCTCGCTTTCGAAGATGCTCTTAAGGCGCCAATGAGCTGTTCGAGGTGTGAAAAGAAAGATCTTGAACTGATTATCGTGAGCAAAGTAAACCTGACGCCATTGACGATATGTAAATGATATCAAACAAGCTAAGTTTTTCTAGTCCTCTATCTCAATGAATGTATACTTCATGTTCGGTTCTCTCCTCCAGCCCCGAAGGCACCAACCATATATATCTGCATCTCTATTCTCCCAGAAACTTCTCACAGCTCATACTTTAGATCTCCTTCTGTGGAGCTCATTCGCGACAAACAAAAGACTCAACACCAAGCCAAGACCCGCCAGTCCAACCGCAAACCACAGGGCACCACGGTAGCCGAGAAGAATATCGGACTTGGTCAATCCGCCATGGTTGATATTGGTTTCAATGGTGCCAGCGAAGCCGAGACCAAGAGATATGCTATAGTTGACCACGGTCATGACTATGCTCGCGCCCATGCCCTGGTACCTTTGAGGAACGGCATTGGAAAAGATGATTGTTGCTGAGGGGAACAAAGTGTCCATGCCCACGGTGATGATGAGGACACTGAAGAAGTAGTAGGTCCAGTAGACCGAATGGACGGGTCGGGCTGCCGCAAGGATGGATCCGGCGACATATGCGACCTGTCCGGTAACCATGATCCACGAAGCAGGCACCTTGCCGAGCAACTTGCCCACCGCGAGGGCTGACACCAATCCCGATGGTATGACAGGTATGAACCAAGCAGCCATCTGAAGAGGCGTGTTACCACCAATGTTCAGGGCGACTTGTCCGACGTAGAAGACCTGTGAACGGATCAATATTTGAGTTTCTTCTTGATCGAGATCGGAAACGATGAACTGACCCATATGCCAAAGCAAGCCCAGCCCGTTGCCGTACATGCAAAAACAAACGCAATGTCCGAATTGAAAACCGCGAGGGGCAGGATCGGGGACTTGGCGTGGTATATCTCGATCCAGAAGAAGCACGCTCCGAAGAGAAGACCAAGAATCAGACACACACCGACGTAAGGCTCCTGCCAGCCTACAACCACAGCCTGGTTCCACGCGAAGTTGAACAAGACCAGAGCCGTGACACCGGTGACCATTCCAGGGATATCTAGGGCGTCTAGTTTCCCGACAAGTCCTCGCTTCTGCTCTGGCAGGGCAGGCAGGGCAGGAATTGTCCAAGCTGCAAAAACGGCAACAGCGGCAAGAGCGATAGCCTGGCTCCAATAGATCCACGGCCACCAGGCAAGCGCGAAGAGGCCTCCGAAGAGAAACCCTGCGATGGCTCCGAAAGGCGCTGACCCGCCAAACCACGCGAAAGCCATGTTCTTGCGCGGTCCCGCCGAGTATGATTGACCCAAGATGGCAAGCGCGTTGGGCAGAGTCAACGCAGGACCCATTCCTTGGAAGACACGTGCGAATACGAACAAGACGTGAGACGAGAGGACGGAAAGGCCTGCGACGAGGGACCATAGCGCGTACCAGCTCATACCGATCACAAACAGCTTCTTGTTGCCGAACTCATCTCCCAGCCGGCCGCCAATGAGGATGAATGTGCCGACGGTGAGGCTGTAGCCTGCGATCAGCCAGGACAGTTGGCCCTGGTTGGTGATACCGAACGAGTTTCCAATGACGCCGACGGTGGTGAGGGTATTTCCCATTCCAACCTGGTTGGTGAACATGGCCGTACACAAGGTCCCGACGAAGAGTATCTGGCGCGGGATTGAGAGCATATCGGCAGGGTAAGTTGGGACGTCTTTTTCAGAGGTCCCGTTAAGCTCAGCATCTGCGAGAGTCGGTGTGCATGTCAGCCAAAGACACTTCCGGTCAAGGTATTCCTCAGAGCTTCTTACCTTCACACGATGCTTCTGTCTGAGCTGGCGTCTCTATCCGTAGATGTCTGGGCTGATTTGCCTCGCGCGATGAAGCCATGGTATGTGATTTGCGCGTAGACCTGAGTTTTTGATGGCAGGTGAGATGCTACACGATTGACAAGCCAAAGGTCGCTTTCAATAACTTGGGGCTTCGCCACCTCTTATACTCTCACACTCCATATTGCGGCCACACCGCTAGAAGCGAAGTGAAGGTAGAAGCTGCTATCAGATGGGGACTACGGCATCCTGCGGTGCTAAGAGATTACGAAACCCACATGCTAAATGCAATCCAGCTGCGGTCGGTCGTTTTCATATTACCCATAGTTCCGTATCCAAGTTGAACTTCCCCCGTAAAGTAAATATTGATTGATGTAGTGCTTGGATCGACTCCACATAGCGCGGGGCTTGCATCTGTATCCACTGTATATCGCGCGGCATGTGGATCCTGGGCTTCGGGCATGGAAACTAGCTTCGTTTCCCTTCCTTCATATCCATTCGAATTGTTCTTCCAATTTGACTTTAGATTTGTAGTTCAAGATACGCATTATGCGACGTCATGCTGAGAAATCCATATTGTTTGTGGGTTGTGACTCCAGAACTCGGAAGAGTTGCTGATGGACAGGACTTGACCTAAGCCTTGCCATGGAATATAAAGCATATAACTCCTTACGCACCGGGTGGGTGGCAGTCTTCTCTCTAACATTCGGCTTTGCAATCAGTGTCTTGCCAGATTTATTCTTTTCTCACGCTAGAGACATCGCACAATATGGGATCTACCTCCGTCGCTCTCATCCTCGGGTACGGCCCTGGGATCGGGGCCGCAGTCGCCAGGAAATTCGCCAACAACGGATACAAGGTCGCGGTCGCGTCTCGGAGCGGCAGCAACACCAGGACTACCGAGGGGTTTCTCTCCCTCAAGGCGGACTTCACCAAGCCCGACTCGATCCCGGCGCTCTTCACCACGGTCAAGAACGAGTTCCACGCTGCTCCGGAGGTGGTTGTCTACAATGCGGCCGTCCGCACGCCTCCTCCCGTCAAGGACTCCATCTTCTCGACTCCGGCCGAGGCCGTCTTGTCGGACCTGAACGTCAACACCACCAGCCCCTACGTCGCCGCACAGCAGGCCGTCACCGGGTGGGCGACGCTGCCTAAGGAGGCCAAGAAGACGTTCATATACACGGGCAACATCCTAAACGTGTCTGTCGTGCCTTCCCCGGCGATGATGACTTTGGGTATGGGCAAGTCTGCTTCAGCGTACTGGGTCGGACTTGCCGATCAGCTATATTCGACGCAGGGGTTCCGGTGAGTGCGATCGTCGAGAAATGACGCTGCTCGGTCCCTCGATTTCTGACATGCATGAGTCCCATAGGTTCTTCTACGCTGATGAGCGCTACGATGATGGCGCCCTGAAAGGAGGCGCTATCGACGGCGACGCACATGCAGACTTCTACGCGCAGCTGGCGGCCCACGAGGGCAGTGTGCCGTGGCATGCCACATTCGTGAAGGACAAGGGTTATGTCGGATTCAAGCTTTGAGCTCGTGCACAAGTTCCCAGGGGTTGGGACGTCAAACATGAAGTCGTGGCCAGGATTGATCAATCTATCGTACTTCTTCCTTCTCTCCTGAGAACCTCATACTTGAGTATCTCAGAATGTAAGACAGCAGGCACAGAGATCATAATAACAAGTAAAATTCTGGTTAATTCCAGGCCACAGGTACATCAGAAACCTAACCCGGTCCTGAAGTCCTTGAAGAGCACTTACGAAGCTGTCATTCTAGACAAGTAGCACCAAGTCGCCCTGGCTTCTAAAGCAAGCGGCCAGATCTCGCGTTGCGACATCTTCTGTCTCCCGATTGTGCCACACATTCTCCATAATCTCAAGCGCCTTGTGCACAGTTCCGAAGACGCTGGGAGGCTGCAGGGTCTCCACAATCCCGCGCAGACAGGCCTCCTGTGCTGGTTCCGCAAGGCACCCTGCCACGCAGAATGGCCATGCCATGGTGCGTAACAATGCCGGAGGAGACATTTGGCGCGTCAGCAGGTCGACGATTCGAGACACGTGATGGCGCACGTCGCCGCTGGTGGGCTGCCACCCGGAAACCACGACGAACAGGTAGAGAAGCGCGGCGTGAGCCCAAACGCGGGTGACCAGCGCAGTGTGACCAAAGACCTGTTCTGGATGCTCTCCATGGTAATATGGCGTAAACAGACCATCCAGTATGCTGCTCGCGCTTTTGGAAGCGATGGCTGGATTGGCTTCGACCCGTGAAAGCTGGGCCACCAAGGTATTCTTGATAGGCGCGGCGCGGCGGACAAGCTCCATAACGTCAAGGTCGCCGGCTCTCTTGCATTCTTGTTTCCAAGCATCGAGCGCCGCAATCTCGCTGATCTGAAGCAAGACCCAGTTTTGACACCCGCAAATAGCCTCGAGGTCAATTGGGGGGCCGGACTGGTCGGTGCCGCTTAGAAGGCTGTGGTGATATTTGTACAGAACAGGTTTCTCCTGGAGCGCCGTGCTGGCGACTATGTCGTCCAATAGCACAAGCGCGGACGAGAAGCGAAAGGCCGCTTGCTCAGCACTGGGGACCTGAATGCATTGCGAAGGCAGCGTCCAGGAGGATGTCCCGAGCCGACTCATGACGGCGTCAAAGCTTGACCATGACCATTCTGCGCCGGTGCTGTCCATGACCCGCCGAAATAGGGCGACGGCTGCACTGCGGTGGGCCTGGTAGTTCTCAAAACTCGACACGGAGATCTCGAATCGCTGCAACTGTATGACACCCGCTAAAATCCTTACGACCTCACATAGATAGTTCTCGTGGCCTCTCCGCTCATCCAGCGCCTGTAGTGACTGTCTCAATGTCCCGAAGGCGTCTCTCGTCTGCTTGAGCAGCTTCTCCCAAGCCACGTGGCAATTTGTCGTGCCTAGCGCCAGAGAGAAGAAATAGGAGCTCTGGCACAGCGCGGTCTGCCGCACGACGGGGCTGGTCATCATGATGTCCAAGATCCATGATCGCCCGCCTTCGGCAAGGGAGGGCCGGTAGAAAGGGAACAGGAATGGAAGGAGGTTTTCGAGGTAGAACATGAACAGACAAGCGTCAGGCCATCCGGAGGGTCCGCTCTCGCGTTCGTCTGTGGCATCACGCATGCCATTCATATTGCCCCAGGTACATATAGGCGGCGCATCGGCGGTCTGAGCCGTGGCGTTGTCACTGTCCGCGTATGAAATGCCTTCGATGGCTGGAATGTCAGATGTTGGCGTCGCCAGATAAGCGGTGGAATCCTGACAAAACACTGCCGTTGTGTCCAGCTGCGATGGAGACGCTGAAAGGCGGCCCACGGGATTCTGGCGCGTGTGCTGCCCATGACGGCGATGGCCCTGTTCTTTGATCTGGCGCTTGAGCCGCTGGGCGACCTTCTGTTGCCTCGCACGGCCGTCCATCCATTCCGGCTTATCCTGGCTGTAGTGGCATGTGATGTTGAGTGCAGCACAGGCATCGCAAACTGGATGCTCCTCTCCGCATTTCTTGCGCCGGAGGCGGCAAGTCCAACAACCGCTGTCGCTCCTCATTCTTGTCGCATTGATGAGGACGTGCAAATGAGATCCAAGGCGCTGTGAGGGAAAGGTCTTGGAGGCGGGAAGGCAATCAGTCTAGCGTTTGTAATGCACAGGGAGTAGACGTTGCTTTACCACGCTCTGTCGTCATTGCATCGGAAGCCCTTAAGCTCCGCAGGTGCCGCCAGTCTTTCGCAGTAGATCCACACACCGCGCGCCATGTGGAGTCGAGAATCAAGAGATCTGGAGCTCAAACTTCTTCCTCAAAAGTTGATTACTATACGCCACCCAGGCGGGACGACGAGTTTCTCGACAACCATACAGCGAGTCCTATATACATCGATCGCGATGAGGCTCTGGGAACATCGATTTACCTCCGGGGCTGCTAGGTGCCTCAGCTGCCGACCCTGATTTGTAACCTTCTCTGGGACTACCATTCGTCCCCAGAGTCCCACGTTTATAAGAGGAATTCTTTAACAGCTCGTGTTTAGCAAAAAGATATTTGGGGATGAGGATATCGGAATTGTCTATTCTGCGCAAGGGAGACGGTCCGAAAGCAGACGCGCGCCGAACGACATATTCTTCGCCATCGCCAAGCAGGAAGTTGGAAGTTTTCATCACACAGACGCAGCGTTAGGGGATACTAGGCTAAATACCAATATGCTCGGCGGCGAATCGTGACCTCTTCAAAGTCCATTTCCGTTTCCAGAACCGAGTATCCCGCCATTTGACCTATGCCGTCACCAAGCCAGTCGGAGCTGTGGCTGTGCCATCCTGAGTGCGGCCTGAAGCGTGCCCTGAGCAGCCTGAGCGAAGCCCTGAGTGCGCATAGGTTCCCACAACTTGGCCCCCTGTGTTCCCGGTTGTTGGTGTTACATATTCGAAACCTCCAAACTCCAGACCCCGACTAAGGCGCTGCCATGGTCTGTCACGTGAGGGAACTGCTTATCGGCGATCCTCTTCAGCTTATGCCCCAATCCCGCCCAAGGTAACATCCCCCGAGTCTTGCCCTGCGGATTCCGCCCCAGCGGGGTCAGGTCTTTTAGAGCCTTGGCACTTCAGTGGGCCATTCCCTGGCTTTATAGACAGTCCTTCATAGTAACACAATACTATGCCCCTCAACTACCACTGAGTAAACACTACTCCGTACAGATTCTCTTCTCAGGCCATTCAGCGGAGCTGGCGGCGCGGCGCGGCGCGGCGCGAGGCAATTGGACACGAGGAGCCCGCGATCTGTACAAGCTTGGATGTCGAAGGCGTCATATCCGGCACCGTTGTGGCTGATGAATTCCAAGCTGGCTGGCAGGGCCTCAATGACTTGCTTGTCACCTTGTCAACTTGAGCGGTGATGTTGAAACTGGAGCAGAGGAACGTAAATACATTCACTGTCAAGACGATATGGATACACTCCTTCATGGCTAACTTCTATCAAGGTATCCAGTTTCCACCATTCGTCTACTCTCTTCTCATCTTCTTCCCGGTCCCCCACACCCTCTCTTCGATCTCCGATCTCCATGGTTTAGTCGAGAGGAGTAGCTCTGCCAGGGCCCAGGCGGCTTTTCGCGGTAACTCGCGACTGCCCTGCCAATTACGTTTGCTTGTCGACTCTGCGTGAGGCGCGGACTATGCTTGAGTTGCTGGCTCTGGTTGAGGCTGTGGCTTTGGCTGCATGTGTCCTGCAAATAGTTGGGAACTTCCCGCGGCGACTAGGCTTTTCTTTTCCAGCGAGGAGATGTACGCCAGGGTCCAATCCTGGCAGTCTTGATTGTGCTCTGCCTGGGGGACCGGCACAGCCTTTGCAGCATTGAGAATTCGAGTTCGCGCAGTGGCGGGAACCGTTCCCAGGTGTAGTTGTGTCGGGAAATTGGGACCGGCGAAAGGTTTGTCGGCCTGAGGAGTGTACTGGAAAGGCCTGGGCGGGTTCATCTGTGGTCCTCCGGTGACATGTATCCACAGCGATTCGTCGGGGGTTTGCGACGCTCGAACTTGGACCATCGTGTGGTTTCTTGCACGGCCAGGCACGGGCTTGCAGATGGTGGCATAGATATAGAGGACGGGCTCTTCTTGGGCTGTGGATGTAGACATTGTTTGAGGGGTGATTTGCGCTGGAGGCTCTTCGTCATGAGATGAGACGATTCTCCCCTTCGCATGTTCTAGCAGTCTTATTATATCAATGGTAGCCATGCTGCCAGAGGCCGAGCCATGCTATTGTTGGATTTGCATCCTGCCTCCTATGGACAGCAAGTCGGATTCTATGCAATGGAGGCGCTCGCGGTCAGCTTACCGGGACGGCGAGTAACCATTACTTTTCATTGCAAGCCTTACACTACAGCCTAAGTATGACCATCTGAACAACTCTCGTTATAGCAAAGGGCAACAGATGGGCGAAAATGGGATATATTTCTAGCTTACCGCCCGAGTCGCACAGCCTTGGCCATAATATCCGGTGGGGCGAGGCCGGACTTAGCAAGCTTACCAGCACGCGGAGGGGTGTAATCACTTTCCGCCACAGGGCGCTGCTTTTTTCCGTCGCGGCGTTGGCGCCCGAGCGAGAATCGCACAGCCCATTTAAAACCACTTAGATGACAAGGACAGCCAACCGTTCCTATCTCGCTCGCATCGATTGTCTGTCGCGTCACTTCCAGAATCCAGCACGAGACATCTATACCGCAGAGCATTCGTATCTCAACTCAATCGACAGTATGCCGCCAGGACCGGCCGAAGACGGCCACAGCCACGACCACCACGACCACCACGATGAGGATTTTGACGTTGACAACGACGACGACTGTGAACATGATTTCGTGGCCGATGAAGATATCGAAGATCAGGAATTGCTGCTGCATCTGCACGGTCACCATCCCGGCTCGAGCGCTGGTCAGCATGACGAAGGAGATAGGCCAACGGGACCGGACCAAAACGGCCATGCCAACGATGACGGATCTGACGCTGAGGAGGAGGACGACGACGACGCCGAATGTGAACATCGTTTCTTCGCCGATGAAGAAATCGAAGACCAGGAATTGCTGCTACACCTGTACGGTCTCCATCCCGGCTCGAGTACAGATCGACATGCCGAGGGAGGCCATTTGGAAGGCGGAGAGGAGTATGATCAGGACTACGACGATCACGACGAGGGTGCCAACCACGACTCTCATGACACAGAAGGAGATCAGAGTGGGGAGGGTCATTATGATCATTCTGCCGTCTATGGACATGCAGCCGACCACGAGGACGACTACGCCGGAGAGGATGACTACGCGGGGGACTACGACCACACGGGGCACCACGACCACACGGGCGAACACGACTACACAGGGGAAGACGACTACACGGGGGAAGACGACTACACGGGGGAGAATGACTACAAGGGAGACGATGACTACAGGGGCGACGACTACTACGAAAGTTAGAGATGACCTTGGAATCCGTGCATCAAGCCTCGGCGTTTCGTAGCCGCAGTTCCACAGACTTTTTGTTCTCAATCCTAGCCATCTTGCCTGATTCCGCTGACATCTCTGCTCTGATAAAATCGTTTTCGTCCACGACATGCCTCGCAGTCGTTCATAAGATGCAGTGCCTACAAGATGAGACAGACAGCCAGTCGAGTCCTTTCCGCTCCGATCTCTTCGTTGGCACTGCCCGCGCCATCTCCAACCAGTGTGCCTCCCAGCTGGACGATAGTTACCATTTAGAACACTAAGGACTTGGTGTCGGACGAACACCGAATGAAAGGAGAGGCGTACAGTATTGCTGTCGAGGATTGGGAAGCATGGTCACGAATACAGTGGTGCGTCCTGCCCCGCGAACTGCCCGTTTTCGTAGCCTCGTTTCGGCAACCTCGAGCCAACGGAAGCACGAACCCGGTTCGTCCGGTTGGAATGTCTCTCCGGTTTAGACGATGCATGATTGGTACTCGTGCAACTTTGGACAAGGCGCCAAAAGGTGCGAGAGGCGGACCGAACACTCCAAGGCTCCAACGCTTGGGTACATCAGTCCGGGCCAGCAGACAGGTCTACCGGGGTATGGTTCAAGCGGCACGGACATACGAGTGTCTAGCATAGTATAGACCCAGAAAGGGTCCTCAAAGGAGGAAAGTCGATGGGCCTGGAAAAGCTGCAAGCGGTCCCGGGCCAGTTTTTAAGGACTATCGCTGGGGCCGCACAAAGCGACATCCGTTGAAGCCCTCGAGATTGACACCTGAGTTTAACCCACTGTATATCTACCCCATCAGGTTGACGCCTGGCGGCCCTGACGCGCGGTGCAGCACGGACGGGAAATATTGGTTTCCGAGCCTTCCCGTGCAAGGACCGAGCCTCTCAAACCGAGGGACAGTTTTGTCCAAAGTGCATTGAACTGGATCTCGTACGGCATGTCCTACTGAGATGTCCGAGCATGGCTGCCGTTCGACTTCAATGTCGAGACCGGCGTCAGGGGTTGGCGACGAGGCTGATCGCGAAATTGCCCATCAATGGCAAAGAGTCCTCGGGAGCTGCGTCCGCAGGAAAATCGTCTGTAGAGGATGCTGAACTTAAACGGGACCTTGTCCACCGATGGGGACCGGTGGGAGAGAGAGAAGTGGGATGGAAGCCGGCCATTGTGGAACTGATCATGTCCCCGCTTCCAGAGCCTTAAGTCGTCGCCTGTTTCGTCTGCCCTGCGCTTCGACTTAGGCCATTGCTTCTTTATCCACGCGCTTTCGAGCCTGCCTCGTTTTCTTAGCTATCAGTTGGCCTGCGATGGCAATGTCGTCAAGGGGTCGGTAATAGCTCTTTCCTTGTGTCCCCTTGCGTAAAAGGGGCTACGTGGTTAGGAATAGGGCCGGTTCATCCCGTGACAATACAACCCCCCCGCTTTTACCTGGCGGCCGCCAACTACGAGTAGTGGATGACGTGAGCTTGGCGGGTCAAATACTCGTACTCGTACATACAACAACGACAAAGACTGTTTGTCTCTTGATACGCACTCCCTCCTAACAACCATCAGCCTTGGTGCTCTCCTGCTTTATTGTCTCGAATTGCGACCCACGTCACCATACTTCCATAAAGCATGAAACCGCCTGCACAACATCCCGAGTCATACGTGGTACTGCCACAAGGGCCACATAAACAAACGGTGATCATCCTCCACGGTTTGGGATCCAATGGTCGAGACTTCGGAACGGCTCTGCTGGAAACAGCACTTCCTGACGGCACTACTTTGCGAGACGCCCTTCCCAATGCCAAATTCGTATTTCCGACTGCCCTTTTCCGCCGTTCCACCATGGCCAAACGTGTGCGGCTGACACAGTGGTTTGACATTGCGAACCTCGAAGAGCCATCGCGGCGAGCGGACTTGCAGGTGGAAGGCCTGGTAGAAACCACCACATTCATCCACAATCTCCTTCAAAGTGAAATGGACGTGGTCGGACCCGCGAACGTTGCTCTGGGGGGCTTGAGTCAAGGCTGCGCTGCCGCGCTGGTCGCGTTGCTGTTGTGGCCAGGACGCGACGTACAGGCTGCTTTCGGCATGAGTGGCTGGCTCCCCTTTCAGGACCTCCTCGTGGCGACAGACCAGCCCGAATCCGAGGATCCGACTGATTCGGTTTTTGAGACGGCCGAGGAAGAACCCATGTCCCCACCAGAACGCGCGATCACGGAACTCAGAGAGATGCTTGATTGGAAGCCAAACCAGGACACCGCGGCCAAGATTCCATCTACACCAATCTTCCTAGGCCACGGGGCTGAGGACCCGAAAATCGCGATACGGCATGGCGAAGATGCCGCAAAGGCACTTTCGTCGCTTGGGATTCAGGTCGAATGGCACAGTTACGATGGCCTAGGGCATTGGTATAGTGCCGAGGAGCTCGCAGATTTACTGCGATTCCTCCGAGAGAGAGGGTTTCATGATTAGCAAGGTGAAAGCGCCTATCGTGAACGCGCACCGTTGACGAACCTTCTCCGAGGCTTTGGTCACCTCGCGTTCTCGAATTCTGGGGGCGGATAGAGATCCAGGCCGTTTGTCTCAAGCTCTCGACGCGGCGCTTGGTGACACGCGGGTGGATTGGCCCGATATGTACGGCTGCAACGTGAACAATGGCTGTACCACCGTGGAGGCGGAAAAAGATTGTCTATCCCGAGCCAGGCTCCCATGTGTCATCTACGGGTGATGGTTGGATCGAGAGCCTTAAGGCCACTGTGACCAGAACCGCGTTCTTAGGAGTCTTTGAGACAAAAGCCGAATTGCATGGTCTTGATCTACAAGTATGTGCTGCGATGTGAACGCCGACTGACGTGTCCACGCGTCCGGTCGAGATGCTCGTTCCGCGCCACAACATTGCCGCCGAGAGCCTACGTTTGGAACAAGGCAGTCAAAAACGAGGCATCTCAGCTAGAACCATGTGCTTCAGGTGGATATGCGGTCCCAGCCCCGTGCCGCTACAACGTGCAGGTGATTATCGGGGGCGTGGTGTGCCGCTGGGGGCCAAACGGTCGCCCCATCATCATCTTCCGAAGCGGAGCCAGGTCATATCTGATTACTGATTACAGGCACTTGGTCGCCGCTGAATACCGAGTGCTTATATAGCCGCTCTCTGATATCAAAAGCCGATCCCAGATGTCGAATATGGCCATTTCATTGTCTGCTATAACACGAGTGCCTTTCTTAGTGCTTCAAGATAGGCCGTATACAGTATTACCTTCGCGGGAGAGAAGCTTCTGCCTATACATTTCCGAGTGTCATCACTGAATATCTTTTCGTAGTCCTGAAGACGGATCTCCTGTCAAGATATGATGTTCAGAGATAAAAAGCAGACACGGTGAGGATGGATTTCATCAGTGGAACATACCTCGAACGAAAAGCATGCAAACCCTAACTGGTATATAGCGAGACACCTGTGAATTTCTAGTACGACAGGACTTTGATGAAAACCGTAGTCTACGCTATGTCGAAGGTCATCTTTAAGCTGGTATAACCGGTCATACATGAGACCAACATCACAGTCGAGTGGTGGAAGCCGTACTGTCTGAGGGTAGAATGTTACTCGCGGGAGCCTGTCTGAGCACTCAATACGAGAACATCATTATCTGCCGCAGGTGTGAATTACTTACCAAAGCTGAAAGTGCTCGTTCCAGTGCTCGCCGGCTTCGCTGCAAAGCCACCGTTGCCGAATCCAACAATTTCATGCTTTGCAGGAGCACCAAACAGACCTCCATCTGTCCCGGCGCCCGAAAAGAATGGTGCACTTGCAGGTTTCGCTGCGTCGGATCCCAAAGTCCCCGAAGACCCAAAAATACTACTTGAAGGGGCTACATTTGACCCAACGCTGGGGTTACCGAATAAATTCGGCTTGATTGACTGCGCCGCCGGTGGGCCGCTGAGACCTCCGAAGAGGGGCTTTGACGAATTCGATGTGTCGGTTGCGGCGGCGTTGGATGGCACTTTCGGCGCAGGTGGGTGAGAATCCTTCGAGTGAGGCACCGGGCTGTTCCAGCAGAGCGAGCTCTTGTCTTCAGCATCTGATATGCCCGACGTCTTGCTGCCGAATCCGACTTTTCCACTCGACAATGGCAGAGGTTTGGGAGTGGCGGCGAGGTCGATTGATGTCGTTTGCGGGTGCCTTGTCCCAGGAGATGCTGCTGGCGCTACACTTTCGAGGACCGTGGTTTTGTTGACGTTAGAAGACTTTGGAGGCAGGGACACGGACTGGCCATCATTTCTTGAACCACTCCGTAGCGACTCCGAGACAGGTCCGGGGGTTGTTCCTCGTGCTCTGTCCAGGTCGAGCCCAAACCCTCGGCTTGCATATCTGCGACAGTTCCGCAACGCCATCTCGAGCGTCTCCAATCGTGCCACCAGCTCGGCTCGTTCCGCGATCATTTCCGGGTTCTCGCCCGCCAGCAGCTGCAACTGATCTTCTGACATCTGCGCCACGGTCTCCGGGGAGAACATTTCCTCGAGCTTCGACAGCAGGCAGGATTCAACCCCGAGCACGACCACGTTTACAATGAACGTCTCAAGGGCGACATTGTAATATGCCCTTGACAGTTGAAGTGCTCTCAATCGTCGATCTTCACCCAGGCTGAAAATTCTGTCATCGCTCGCGGCGTCGCTGTCGTCCTCCGACATATCATCTTCGTTTCGGACCGTTATCAAGCTCACCCGCAGCCGACTCTTCGTCGAGTATAGGAAGGAGCCGGTATGTGGTGCGAACAGTTCCAGAACCTTGTTGTTCAGCCTTTCCCTATGCTCGTGAATCGCGTCATGAAGGACCTCGCGACGGATCAACTTCCCTACCGGTGCCGCGACCGGGCAGATTGAGTCGACAGCCTTGCGCAAGAAGATATCGACCGCATGGCATACGGCTTCAGTATACTCGGTCGAGAGTTGAGGCCATTTCTGGGACTGCTCCTTGAACACTTCCGCCACCGAGCGTGGGTTGAAGAGGATGGGCAATTCCGGACCCCGACAGCCTTCCATGAGCCTCTCAACCTTATCCAGAGCCTCGGCCATGGTGATGCGCTGAGGCTCGTCGGGCGCAGTTGAACGGGTCGACGCATCGTCCACGACTTCAAATGCGTGGCCCCGGGTGCGCATCGCATGTTCAAAGTCGTCGGTAAGAGCCATGGTGGTTGCGCGCAGCCTTTTGCCGTCGTCAGGGCCGGCAAAAAAGGAGTCGGAATAGTCGCCATTCAGGGCGTCTCGGACGATCTGCGCGTAGCGTCTGCTTATCCGGATGAGATATTGCCTCTGCTCGTCTTTCGTTGCTCGATGAGGCCCGAGCTCCTGGAGGGACAGCTTCACCGACGTAATTTTGCCCTCCAAGGACTTGATGAGCTCGGGTAATTCATGCAGGATGTGCTCTTCCAGGTATTCACACAGGACGTCTCTCAACGATTTCGTCCCCAGCCTCTTTCTGTTGAAGCCGTACCATGGGTCCTGAAAGAACAATTCGGTCTCGATTCGATCTCGGTTGGCCCCTGTCTGCCGTTCGCCGTCAGTAAGACACCTCACGATTTGCCAATCGCGTTTGAATTTGAACGTGGCGTGTTGGTTCCCTGCAAGCTCTAGGATCGTGGGAGTTAGTCTGGCTTTATCCGGGCGTTGCAGGATATCTGGCTTGGTGATAACCCCTATGGTCCGCTCGCCAGCGGGATCGAACTTGCGGCATAGTGTCAGAATCCCTTGTTTTTCAATGGGGTTCTCGGCAGAGACGATCGCCATGATCAAACTCTCCTTCTGCCTGAGATACCCCTCAACAAGGCCTTGAACGTTGACGATGTCGTCTGAGCTCGGGGCAGAATGGATGAGGCCGGGCAAGTCCACGAGAGTGAGATTTGGCAGCTGTGGACCTTGCAGACTCAAATGTAATATATCCCGACCGATTCCTCCGGCCTCGCCAAGTCCCATCGCTTCCTGGGCTTCTCGCAAGACGTCCGGGATCTCATCGAGGCTCGCTGTGATCTGCTTTTCGAATGACATAATACGGGCTCGATGTTCGTCGGAAGATCCAGATCTAGGTTTGATAAATGCCCACCCTGATACTGTCTGACTCGAGGAACGATGTCGTAGGGCAATCTCCGTGGCACATCTTGTGCACATGGTGCTGTCAACCGGGAATGGAATGCCCGAGAGTGCTTCCAGGACGGAAGATTTGCCGCTACTTGTGTCACCACATACGACAATCTTTGGCACGTTGTTGAGGCCAACGCGGCGAAATTTGTCGATGTCATCGAGGAGCTCTAGTCGGTCAGGGGATTGGAATAGAGGGATGGCACTTTTGCTGATGTCGATCGCCATGGTAGTCAGGCGTCTGGGTTTGAGTCACGTCAGACAAGAGAATGGCAGCATGCCGCTGAATGAAGGGCATGATATAGATCATTGCAGCGCAAAGACGAGGATTCCCGCCAGCGGCTGGCGTGGAAACAGGAGGATGCAACTTTGTGGCGTTGGTGGCTGGTTTCACCTTTCTAGTGCCTCGCCTAGGTCACAGTCGCAGTGTAGGCGAAATAGGGCAATCTTCGATGCTCCAGCTTGAAGTTGAAACAGCCGACATAGCCGTAAGAGGTCTCGAACGGGCCAGGGTAGGTGGAGCAACGGAAGGATTTATCATCCAGACAGTGAGTTGTCATTCATTGAACAAGTGTACCTTGTGGTAGCTATCAACACGCCGTTCGACCCCTTAAAGGGCACGGGCACTGGGGCCAGGAAGGCTGGTGTTCGTTCTCTCAGAGCCTGGTTAGTTAGGCCCCAAGTAGTTCGAGTAGTCGTAGCCCCATGAGCCTAAGCGCTCGGGGCGCCGGCAAGAATGATCCTAAGCACACCCCTGGACCTTGCTAATTTGGCCGTTCGAGCTTTGGGGGGCCGGGACAGCGATGTGGTTGGTAGCATACAGAACTCAGCTCTCGGCTTCCCAGACCGTTTGCAAGGCAGAAACAGTCTTCATGGGAAGTATCGTTGCTTAGCCGACAGGGCAGATTCCCCGAAAGGCCCCGCTGAGGCTAACATCACGAAGAGGGCTGCGCTTTAACGGGTGTAAATGGAGTTGACCTACTCCGTACTGTACATACTCGGAAGTCACAGCCCCAATCCTCTCGATCCCTTGGTCCATCGATACAACGACAACACCCTGCGCCGTACACGGCTCTCTTCCGCATTGGTAGCCCTCGCACTTCTGACGCTATACAGCGTTGAACGCAGGACTTTGCGGAACCTTTTCTGTCAAAGCGTCAGTTGACAGGGCCAGGCGCTCGATCTTTCGATGGTTAGTGGCCTGAAGCCATCTGCTCACCTGGAACTCGGTGCTCAGCGTCACTACACAGACTTCATGAGCCCTGATAATCGTCTCGCAGGCCTTTTCGACCGACTCATTCGCCCCGAGTTGCGGCATCCGGTCGGCAAACAGCAACAAGATGAAGCTCCCATGGAGAAGGTAGATGCCGAATAGGTACGGCATGAAAGTGAGCTCGGGATCACATTTGAGGATTTGAGAGACAGCCTCGGAAGCTGCGATGGCGTGCGATGCACATTTCATAAACGGCACGGACGTGATCCATCCGTCCTCGTTCTCCAGCATGGACACGGCGTCCCATTTACCGTACAGCAGGACATGGAGTACATGTAAGATGAAGGTGCTGTAGGACGTGACCAGTTGCGCCAATGCACGGCTTTTGGGTCGTCGTCCTGTCGGCGTCCCCACGGCGTGGTTGAGAGGACTTTCTTGGAATCCCGAAGTCGGCGTGAGGAACTCGCTTGCCGGGATCGCACCGTTCAGTTCTTCTGTGTCGTATCGGCTCTCGAGATCACCGATGCTCTGGGCGCAATTCGCAAACAGCTCCTCCACCATGGAGATGGAGTTCTGGTCATCGAGAGTTCCGAAGCGAGGGTGATATCGACGGTGGTGGATATGAATGACGTCTCCCATGATGGCCATTAGAGGCAAGAAATATTCGAAAAAGCTTGTTCCCGTCACCAGAACAGGTGGTCCATGAGATCTCTCGGTGATAAGCTCGCTGGGGACAGTCTCGAAATTCTCCCATACGTCGTCGGGTAGCGGAGTGTACACATCGCACTCGTCGTCTGAAATGTTAGGTGTACCATTAAAAGCCAACGCCAAGTGTCGATCCAAGCAGAATAGAAGCCAGAACACACGTCGTCGTTCTTCCTGAGCTTCCAGAGCAGCATAGCACCGGCCCTCGATTTTGTTTCCCAGGCAAGTGTGTGATGGTGTCGGGCACCCTGAGCCATACTTGCTCTCGTTGGCATCTACTCGGTTCAGCCCCAGAGCCTGCGAGAGTCTGACGGCCTTGCTCCACCATGGGTAGCAGTCTGTTTTGAAATCTCCCCCTGAGATCACGATACACATCAGGATGAAAGTCAGGACGTCATCGATCGAAGAAGGTGGCGGATCCGCTTGTCGCTCTTCGGCATATTTCAGGTCTTTGATGGGTGCACCGTAGGAGAAAGAGCTATGCTGTAGAAGACGACCCCCTGCTCCATTGATTCAGTTTCCAAGGCGCTCTCCTTTACATATTCGACCACTCACCAGGGCTTCTTTGCCAGTGATCACGATCTCTATCGTGAACCAGAGACGTAGACAATTTCCGGAGTGCCTCGCAAACCCTTGATCTCTCCCCTGGAAGCAATAGTAGCGGGATGTCTGCTGTTTGAGCGCTCACCCATAGCATTGTAGTCAACAGTGCTGGAGTAGTCTCTCGGGGCCTAGTTGGATGGAGGAGAGAATGCTTCCTCAGCACATGTGTCAATACGTACGGGGATGCAGATCTGAAAAGAGAGCTTCCCGGTTGCGCAAAGTAAAAGTCGAGTAAGTCACACGCATCCTCAGGGCTGATCACGTTGTCGAGCAAAGGCCAAACGGACTTCAGGCATAGGTATGGTCGAGAGGATGACGATCCTGCTTGCGCATGTTGTCCAGAATGACCTTCCGCCAGAAAGCCGTTGTTCAGCTGTGCAGTATCGAAAGATCCGGGTCTTGGCCTATGCGGAGAGATTTGAGGAAGGCCAGTGTCAGATAGTTCAGAGAGCGCCTGTGCCGCATTATCGGCTGGGTGCGAGAAGCTGAAAGCAGAAATATCATGGTCCAAACCGAGCCTGATTGAACCTCTGTGCTGAGGGATGACCTCGTTGAATTGATCATCACTGGATGATCTTCCTTCAAGAAGATGCAATCCCGAGGGCTGGAGCTCATTCCCCGTCAAAGCATGGTCTGTCTCACCAAGACAGGAAATGGTTTCAACGATAACCCCAGAGGACGCTGGGGCTTGGGGAGATAGTTGTGTCCTGCTATCCTCCGGTGCCTGTCCCGCGTTCTGAGGTTTTGGCCTGCGGCCGCGTCTCCTCAAGCCACGATCATATTGACATGAATAGCCGTATTCTGTTCGATCAAAGAGCCGTTCTCAGCACTGAGTACCCGAAACAGCGAGTTCTGCAAATTCCTGGCAAAGACAACGCGAATTTACCTTCACATCGCCGGCTAAAACAACATGAGCTTCCCGAATATCACCATGGTTCATTCGAGGTAGTGCTTACCACGGACATTCACCATCACAACGGACCTTGGAGCTGCTGCACTTGTCGCATGCACGCTTGGTCCTGATTCGAAGACGAGCATCTGATTGTGAGAAATGACCTTCGGCTTGTAGAACCATCTCCACAAGACCTTGCTGTTCGAGCCACCTGGGAAATTTCTCGAAGATAGAGAAGGTCGTTCACACGGCATAATACACAGTTGATTGCCTTGATCCGTCGGGTAAATCCTCGGCCTTCAGCCAAATAGGAGAAGAACCGATGTGATAGTGGATAGACCGGCCGAGTGCCTCACTCCAGGGAAATTTGCGGGGACTTAGCCGATTTCCCCGCGACATCTCGGGGAATTACAGAGGATTGCGGGGGAAAGCGACGTTGGATTATGAAGAATTTGGAGGTTTCCGTGAAATCCATCACTACCCGCACACTGACTGGTGTGGGAATCAGTTACAGCAACGGGGACCGGACTCAATAGGCTGTAGTCTCCCGTCTAAGCTCGCAGAGGTCGAGTGCCCAAGCACCAGCTGCAGGAGTCAAGGACCAGAACGAGGACACCAAGTGCCTCTCGCGGTGCCAATTGCAGGCCCGGCTTCGTGTTCTCCTGGTGCCTTCCCTCGCGCCGTGCTTGCCGATACCAAAGAGAGACACAGTTGGTTCTAACCCGTACTCTCAATCAGAATATAAATCGTTGAGACTTCTGTGACCACTATTGGTAATTTGGAACCCTGTTCGTTCAAGAATTCCCGTTGATTGACCAGCCAGGTCTAAGAATAAGTTCTCATGTCTATTGCTGGATAGCTACTATTTTGGAGCTGGGCCAGCACTTTGCAGTCGCAACACCGTTTGAAATTCCTAGGCTCGAGGAGATGACCTTACCGTCCTTCTGAGCCTGGATCTGGATTCTGGGCTTCGGCGACCCAAAAAACTCGTAGTCAAGCCAACGCCCCAGGATCTTTCTAACTCCCTCATAAAGAGGTTTGTCTCGTCCAACTGCCTCCTCATCAAGATCCCCATATTGAAAGAGCAAATCCCCAGAGGGTTCTATTGCTGAATTCGAGGTGGTGGCAATAGACTTCTGGAGGATTTGTTTGGCCGCCCGTACGTTCTCCTCCAGGTCGGATTCAGAGATAATTCCGGTAATGGTAGTGACGTTGAAGCCAGTCCGGCATGCTCTTTGAGCTCGAGAGATTGAAAACCGCAAGGCCACAGAAGCCAAATTATCGCTTTCGTCCTCGACCCATTCTGCGGCCTTCTGGCACACAGCTCGCAGCTCCAGGGGCGCAGGATGCCAATTTCCCAAGGCGCCGACAGGAACACCGCCGCTTCTGAGCAGTCCAATCCCGAGCGGACTCGAGTTGCAGACAGCTTTAACACCTGCTATTCGAAAGGCGTCTAAGCCCCCTTGCTCAAGCCGGGTATTCTGTAGCGTGAGTTGACCCCAGATCTGCACAATGTCGATGGCACGACCGGAATTTGCACGAGCCCGCGACGCGACTGCCTCAAGGATGTTGATGTCAGCGCCTGAAATCCCCACGCAGCGAACAACACCTGAATTGGATAGTTCATAAAGGGTTTCCACAGCCTGGAGAGCCTCCTCGAGACTGACAAACTCAATATCGTGACAGAACACCACGTCCAGATAGCTCGTGTCAAACCGTTGCAGTGACCGTGCCACGGACTTTCGAATCCACTCAGGTGAATAGTCAAAATAGTCCTCCCGTATTCTTCCAACCTTGGTCATCAGAACATAGTCGCTTCTTTTGTATGAGGATGTAATCTCAGGATGGCGCAAAGCAGCACCGATCAACTGTTCGGAGGGTTCATAGTAGGGTGAGGTATCGATGGTTCTGAGACCTAGATCAAAGGCTCGTTTGATAATGCGGCGAACTGGTAGAGATTCTGGCTGAGGATGGAGCTGATAACTGAACCCAGCTCCTCCCATAACCAACGGCATGAGCCTCTTGAGTGTATCGTCTGGCGCGCAGACAGAGGCTTCCATCGAGGGCACGGAGATCTGTGTCGTGCTTGCAGGTTGAGATACAAGAGGAGATGCACTTGTAGGCGTCTAGGGCCCACAGCAGAAAGTCGCCTTTGCAGGCCGTACCCGTGTCACTTCTCGAGATCTCTCTAGCACATTTTCTGTTTGGCTCAACAGGAACAAGTTGAACACGGCGAAACACCTTCGCGCCGAATTTACATCTTCGTCCATTACGTATGCGGCATGTGTTTTGAACCAGCCCATGCGAAGAGAGACGCTGGCGGCAGAATTGTTGCATTGTACGAATGCGGAGAAAGTGGCAGCAACCAAATCATCTCCACCACATGGAGTCTTTTGGCCGTCGGATATTATCGTCGGCTTCTAGTTCTATTCTCTTAAAATTTCCCGCCGGCTATGGAAGCATGGTCTTTTCGGCATTGCGGGTAAATCACCGAAGTCACGGCTGTTCCTTGAATACGGAACTTCTGACCCAGGCTAAAATCGCAATTAGCAACAAAACCACACGACCACCCGTAGCCCCGAGATAGTGGTATACGCACCTCTTAGTCAGTTTTGTCACGAAGGGATTCAAATGCCGGAGATGGGCGAAAGAAGCGTCGACCGCAAATACCTGCCTCGTTACTTACTCCACGAGCCACGTGCCTCATCAAAACATAGGGGAAATGCTGCATTCAACTTATGACGCCAGCCGTGTCGATTGCTAGGTATAGAGTTCGCTGTATACAGCCGCACGTCAAGCTACTATAACGAAAAGACCCGTCGCTTCGTTCCTTCGGATACAGCTCCGCCTTATTACAGTATTGTGCCGAGTTCGTGATACAGCAGAGTTGGCCCCTACCGCCTCTATTTCCCGTGTTTGTGTGTTTGGCATGAACTTTCTTGAGGACCGGTCCGGAAAACGCCCGCAGCACCAGCAGTATGCCGCTCAGCTCAAAGTGCGGGGCCCCGCCACACCACGAGCCTGTATCACCACGAGTGTCTCTCCACCGTTCAAGTTCCGATGGAGCGATGAGGCCATGACAAAATAAAACCGAGCCCCGACAGCTCTTCTAGATGGGGTCCCGGCATATAAAAGGGTCCCTTTCACCGGGGAAACCAGAGATAAGCGTCCTCATTGACCCTCAGACAACCTCCAAACTATTCGGTCTTGCAGGCAGTGTGCCTCAGCCCCTGCAGATATGGAAGAGAACAAGAATGCCGTCCACAATGTTGAGGACGTTGAGAAAGTTGCAACGCAGGACAGCCATCAGCGAGTCATCACCGTCGAGGACAAGAACGCGCAGTTGGTCGCCAAAGTCGATCAATCGCTGATCGACATCGCCGCCGAAGCCACCGACTTGGAGCATAAGCTGAGCGTCACCGAGGCTCTGAAGATCTACTGGAAAGGAGTTGTGTACACTACCATCATCACTCTGACCATCATCATGCGCGTGTACGACATTGTCATCATCAACAGTTTCTTTGCATTACCTGCCTTTCGGGACAAGTTTGGCTACGATGTCCCCGGCAGTGGCAAACAGATCCCAGCCAGCTGGCAAGCTGCTCTAGGCAATGCTAGCTTGGTTGGACAGGTCATTGGCGCCTTCACAGTGGCATACCCGATGGAATATTTCGGCCGGCGCTGGACTCTGATCTTCTCGCTGATTGGAACTGCGGGCTTCACCTTCATGCAATTCTTCGCACCCTCGATTCAGGTCCTAACCGCATCGGAGTACCTTTCCGGGGTGATCTGGGGCTTCTATCAAGTTCTGATTCCCACCTACTCCTCTGAGCTGCTGCCGACAACGCTCAGACCCTACCTCGCTGGCTATATCAACCTGGCTTACGCCATAGGGAACCTGATCCTGAATGGCGTCACTGCCAGCTTCGATACCTGGACTACGGACTGGGGATACAGAATACCATTCGCCCTTCAGTGGATTTGGCCAGCCATTATTCTACCGTCCCTGTTCTTTACTCCCGAGTCACCGTGGTGGTTGGTGCGCAAGGGGCGGATAGAAGACGCGGAGAAGGCTCTCCGACGCCTCAGCAGCGACTCGCCCAAAATTGACACCCAAAGAACCCTGGCCATGATGCAGAAGACTATTCTATATGAGAAGCACGTTGAGAAGGATTCTAGCATTTGGCAATGTTTCAAGGGCGCCAGTCTTCGACGCACAGAGATCGTCATCATGATTTTCTTTTGTCAGGACTTTGCTGGATTTGCCACCAACACCACATACTTTTTCGAACAGCTCAACGTGACCACTCAACAAGCATTTGACATTGCTATCGGGAATAGCGCCCTCGGCCTTGTCTGCGCTGCTCTATCCGCATTCCTGCTCAGATACTTCGGTCGTCGAAATGTTTTCGTCATTGGTATGGGTCTCATTGTCATCTTTGAGTGGTTGGTCGCCATCCTCGCGTGCGCCCCCAACTACCACAACAGACCTGCCGTGTCCGGGGCACAAGTCGCTATTACCATGATATGCACCATCGCGTTGCAACTCACCATCGGGCCGCTCACGTACACCATCCTCACCGAGGTGCCTTCGGCGAAACTGCGAGCAAAGACCGTGGGCATTGCTATTGCTGTCGACGCTTGTTGTGGTATCGTTACCAGCACAGCCAACCCGTACCTCATAAACCCGGGGGAAGCAAATCTTGCCGGAAAGAGCAATTTCGTGTGGGGTTCACTTTCGATCATCAGCTTCCTCTGGTGCTTCTTCAGGCTCCCTGAAACGAAGCACAGGACTGTGGAAGAAATCGACTACATGTTCGAACATCGGGTCAAGACGCGGGACTTCAAGAGGTACCAGATTGACGAAGACGCGCTGAAGAACGATCTGGTGGAGTAGCAGGCTTGAGTTCCCATTCCCGATCCATAAGGCCTAAGCATGTGGATATGGTGCAGCGTGGTTTTCGATACCGTGTCGATAAGCATGATACAATACATAGTATGAATCGGAAAGTATTAATTAGTATTGTAGTAATACTCTTGGGATTCTTGTACGCCAAGACCTAGTCACGCGGATATTAAAAGCCAAAACTTTTCGCCCCCAAAATCCTTTCCTCGTACCAATCACAACCACTACTGCCACCACAGCCACCACTGCCACCGCCAATTGTACGTGCTCAGTCCCTGATCAACAGACGCTTGTGCTAACTTTATTGCGTTAGTGTTACAATGCCACAGTGCGATCCTTTCATCTCCCTCTTTCAACAGCGCACGATATTGACACAAAGAGTAGGAACAACGATCGATTGGCTGTCGTCCGCTGGGATGTGGCCCAGGCCGCTGCCGCCCTTGCTACTGCGGCTTTAGCCGTACAGCGAGTACCGCTTTTACTTGTGGGCGGGCAGGAGTTGGCTCCGTACGCTCACAGCCTCCAAAGCCGTAGGGCTCTGGCTTTGCCAGGTATTGATGTAGCCTATGTCTATGGCTATATCACACCTAGGCAGCTCGGGTCCCATCGGCCCTCCTACATCAATGCCGTGTTGATTCAATCACGCGGCGTACGATCAGTTCAGCACTGCAACCAGTGTGTGAACCGTCTGACGCCTTTTCCAGAGTGTCGCCAACTTCCAGGACACTTTGGGGGGGCCTGTGCTAATTGCAAATGGCGTGATCATGCGTCACGTTGTTCATTAGCTACGGACGACAATAATACGGAGGGGGTTGTGGAATTGTCGTCGGACGATGAGGACGACGATGACCTTCAAATTGTTCCAACTGGGGCTTCGGCCCAAAATCCAATTCAGCTTTAGGTACGTACGAGATTTCTTTTTGTTTCCCTATGCGAGCACAAGCACAAGCACAAGTACATATCGTACATACCTAGTCGCCTGGGGTTGTCGGCGACACCTACCGTGACTTGTGCCTCTACGTGGCGGATAGGACAAGTAGTCGAAAGACGAAACTAAACAAGTCAAATCGTACGTTATAATCTTAATGAATATCGACTAAGATTCCACTACGTTTCTAATGTTTCAAACACTCTATATACTCAAGACTTTCTACCCCTAATTGTGCCCTTTCGGACATGGTCATGGGAATCTGATAAAGTTCCTCTTGCAGAGTCGAGGAACTACGACATTGCTACAGGAGCTTTTTGGCACGTCGTTGGGGGGAATTGCCAGGCGTCCGAAAATGTCATGGGAGACTGGATTGAATTACCCGACGGTTGTATATCTGCTGGATGATACTCTGGGAGATATGAGGAGCTTGGTGGTAGAGTGCGCGGGTGCGAGGCTTGGATCTCATTTCGTTCGGACTCGTCGAGACCCCCCTTCCTGACCCCATCGGTCATTATTCCTCAGCACACGCCACACCGCGAGCATTCAGCCGGCCGCAGTCGGGTGCTAGGCTACTGACATTTATTGAAGAGCCGGACTGGAACTCGGAGAGAAGATACGACGAAGACCCTCCTCTCTATATCTGCTACTCCATTGAGTGGAAGGTGACAGCGAGACTGGGAACACTGAACCATAGGAAGGTTTCGAACGATATGGAGCTGAACGTAGTGCTGGCGCCAGGCCGGCACTGGGAACGCTGCTTACAAGCGCGTCTCGCAGATCTGGGCGGACAAAAGTTTGCGGAAAACCCTAACACGCGCCCTGACGACCCTGAGGTTGTCGTGTCGATGACAGGACGAACACAGCAAAAGCTCACTAAACGCTTCCCCGGAATCGACATTGACTGGTTAATCGTGCAAACACAGCCCGAGGCCTGGAGCCCATATTTACACAGCGGTAAGAAGCTGCGCGTTAATCTCCCGTTTAACTATGTCCAGGTAGGTGTCCTAGCAGCTGACGTGGGCGGAAAGAGAGGAGATAAGCGAGGACGAGTGTCGACCACTCAGCGAATGCGTAGCGAAATGGATTTGCGGCTTGATGCAGAACAGGCGACTTCTGGGCAACCGTCGATTGACAGAAAGTGTACGGGCTCTTCCGCTGCCCTGGCTCGCCGTGCCCGTTAGGCCCCCACTGCTGGATTGACCCGGTGGGGAACAAACATTATAGACTACTGACTCCCATCTTGAAGAACCGGTAAGATATGATACCATTGCCCGCCCTGGAAGCGGGCATGTTGAACGGGGGTCAGCCCCAGAGGAGACCATCCTGTTCGTCGATACCCCACTGTGTTATTGCAGCCGGTCTCATCCACATACATGACTCGGTCGTCTTCAAAGGAAGCCAGGTCATGCAAGTACATGTCACGTAGGTCTACACACTGTTCCTTAGCTATTCGATGAGCCACCGTTTTTGACCATCCTGCCTTGTCCAGAGCCCTGCTAACGGTAGCGGCCGACAAAAGTTCGTCAAATCGATCCCAAAGGAAGACAACCATTTCATCCTGCCGTAGACAGGGCTTTGGCGAAGAAGGTCTAGGAGGGCATCGAGCATCGGTATAGACATGGATCGAGGGCGTCCTCCACGGCCATTGTATGGGACTTTTGGGCTGCCGAAGCGACGGTAGTTCGTTCGCAAGGTGCTGATCGTCCGAGAACTGCGCCTAGCTACTCCGGCTATTTCGCCGCCTGTTAGCGTGCCTTCCTCAGTCATGCTTGGAATAATCACATGCTGCGAGTTTGCAAGATTCGGTGCCATGATGGGCATCCACGCAGGGCGCAGGACAGGGCATCCCGTATTCAATGCATTCGCTGTTTACCGCGTCGCGTCCCACTGAAATAAACGCCAAGACTGAACTGATCACGTGATCAAGCATTTCGAAAAGGTCACGTGATCGAGCATTTCGAAAAAGTCACGTTACCTACGGCGGGGCCTACACTTGCGCGTGCACCTGCGCCTGCATCGTTCAGCCAGCGCATAGACGCAACACTTCGCTGGCGTTTCAGCCTCACTTCACCAAGGCAGACAACTCGATTTGAATTCTTTGATGTCTCCCCATATACGCGAACTTCACCCTTCCTCTCCTATACCACCAGAAAGGCCATCATGGCTCCATCGAAACCGGGTGGGAAGCGCCATAAGCTGCATCAATGGCTGTCCTCCCATGGTTCCACTTCCAGCAGTAGCCAAACTCTACTGCCGTCCACACCTGTGACCCCGCAGTCTACGACATCGACTACGTTGACCACGGCGGCGCACGATTTCCACAATAGAGTGTTTTCCTTTCTCTCCCAGCAGGATCGAGATACTATCCGACAACATAGTGTGACGAACGCGATTCACGTCGATGAAATCGTTCAGCAGACCCTTACGGTAGCAAGACAGACGCAGACGATATGTCAATCGAAAAGATGGGCCGTTGCTTTCCGCGGCCGTACGGTTGTCCTGCGAGAGAAGGCGGATAATATTGTAGAATGGTTAGATCGGTTCAAGCAAGTCGGAGATATTGTCTCCAATGTCGACCCGGTGCACGTCGGACTTCCGTGGGCGGGCATTCGTCTTCTTCTTGAGGTGAGCGTTGCCGGACAAGTGACCATCGTTTACAGGACGCATATAGTGTCAATGACTCTTATACTGATGGTGAGTAGGCAGCCGTCTCCGAACATGGTCAAATGGAAGCTCTCGTCCTCGGCCTCGAAATGACTCTGTACCTGTCAAAGCGACTCGAAGTGTACATGACTTATCTCACTGCGATTCCCCCCGGTCAGGCACGCGCGAATTTCGAATCTTGCTTAGTTGAGTTTCACGCCTTAGTATTGAGATTCTTAGCAAGGGCGATCCGGATCTATCAAAAAGGTAGCTTTGCTCGGGGGTTTGACGCATTCTTGCGGGTGGAAGATGTGTCCACCTTTGAGGATGAGTGCAACAAGTTGGCTAATCGAGCAGAGACGGAGGCGCGCAACTGTGATCGGCAAAACCTGGGCATGATTCAGAAACAATTGGAAGACCTGCGTATCATCCACAGTAGTGTCCAGCAACTACAGGCTAAAGTCGACCTCAGTAAACTCCCGGTCGCTACGGGTGCGGCGTTCAATTCTTATCAGGACGAACTCGATGCTCGATGCCATCCAGATACGCGTGTCGATATACTAAGGGGCATCTACACCTGGGCCGATGATATCAACGCCGAAACGATTTTTTGGATCAACGGTATGGCCGGCACGGGCAAATCGACGATATCTCGAACGGTGGCACAAACCTTTTCCGGTCGGGGTCAGCTGGGGGCCAGTTTCTTCTTCAAGCGAGGAGAGCCTGATCGGGAGAATGCTAGGCTTTTCTACCCCACCATTGCTCACGAACTTGTCTGTCAGATCCCAGGATTAAGCCCTTTTGTCCAGAAAGCGGTCGAAGACGATCCCCGCATTGCGGATCGGGCGCTGAAGGAACAGTTCGAGAAGCTAGTCTTTCAGCCTTTGACTCATATTAGCCCCATCCAGACAGCGTTTGTCCTAGTGATCGACGCCCTCGATGAATGTAGCCGGGAAGGAGATATACGCATCATCATCTCTCAACTAGCTCGCACGCGTGAGCTGAACACGATTCGCTTTCGTGTCTTCCTCACCAGCCGGCCCGAGCTTTCAATTCGGCTCGGCTTTGCGCGAATCAACACCAGCACGCATCGAGACATTGTTCTGCAAGATATTCCGCCCGCGACGATTGAGCACGACGTTTCCGTCTACCTGAGAGACGAGTTTGCCCGCATTCGAGGTGACCATGGAATTGATCTACCGTCTAGTCAGTTCTTCGCTCCAGATTGGCCAGGCACGCAGGCGTTGAATACTTTGACTCAATTGGCGGTGCCTCTTTTCATCGTCGCAGCGACGATCTGCCGATTTGTCGGTGAATTGAAAGGTAGTCCCAATCCACTGAAACGGCTCTCTCAAATTCTCAATCAACCTATCGGACAGAAGCCACAGCTAGAACTCACGTACCTCCCCATAATCAGTCAGATACTAGTGGGAGACGAGGATGCCAAAGAGAAGGAAGAGCGCTGGGACGATTTTCGTCGGATTATCGGCTCGATCGTCCTGCTTGCTGATCCCTTATCCGCTACATCATTGGCCAGATTGCTCGACGTGCAGATGATGGAAGTTGACTGCCAGTTACGCTCTCTCCACTCCGTTCTCTGGATTCGCGATTATGACGCCCCAATTCACCTACTTCATCTCTCCTTTCGAGAATTCTTGACGAAGAAAGTTCCCTCGGATACTGGCCGACCATTTCAGATTGACGAATGCGACTCACACGGATATTTAGCCGACAAGTGCCTTGCGCTGCTCAAGAGTTCAACTGGCTTACGGAAGGATATCTGTCAGTTGGGCGATCCTGGATCGCTTCGGACAGAGATTGATGCTGCACTCATCAAACGCTGTATTCCCCAGCATCTCCAATACGCATGCCGCTATTGGGTCTATCACGCTAAGCAGAGTGGACACAGAATTCGTGACAAGGGCGACATTGATCGATTTCTCCAACAGCATTTTTTCCACTGGCTCGAATGCTTGAGTCTCCTCGGTAGAATCTCGGACAGTATCAGGTTGATTGACACATTACAATCACTCGTGGCCGAAAATAATAGCGAAATATCTGCCTTCCTCGAGGATGCGCGACGATTCGTGCTCACCTTCCACTTTATTCTCTCGCACGCGCCGCTACAAGTGTACGGAAGTGGTTGGCATTTCAGCCCTTTACAAAGCAGAGTTCGATCCTTTTGCAAAGAGCAAAGACTAGAAAACATCGAAGTACGGGGCGGGCTGCCAGAGCAATGGAGTGCATGCCTACAGACGCTCGAGGGGCACTCTAGCTGGGTCAATAACGTGGTGTTCTCGCCCGATGGGTCGCGTGTGGCGTCGGGCTCCTACGACAAGACCGTACGAGTGTGGGATGTACAGACGGGCGAGTGCCAACGTACGCTCGAGGGGCACTCCCGCTCGGTCAATAACGTGGTGTTCTCGCCCGATGGGTCGCGCGTGGCGTCAGGCTCCGACGACGAGACCGTACGAGTGTGGGATGTACAGACGGGCGAGTGCCAACGTACGCTCGAGGGGCACTC